TTGTTATTATTAGTTATTTCGTTATTATTAGCTGTTTCGTTATTATGTATTAGTTTTTCCTCAAATTGTTAACGGTAATAAATTTTAAAATCTTTCTTTTAATAAATTTTTATTTTATTTTTCTTATTACATTGTTTTACGGATTTCTGTAATCAGTTCAGCCTTAATTCAGCTACTGAACATATAAATATTTTTTGCTGTTCTTCCGTTTTTTGGCGCGGTGCCAACTGGTAAGAACAACTTTATTTTATATAGTTTTGTTGTTTTCTTTTCTTTTTGCTGAAAGAGAAAACTTTTTTTGTTGCTTTTTTTTGCTGAAAAAGAAATTTTTTATTATAATTTAGAAATTAAAACTTTACTTTATGAAATGCATAAAAAAATTTAATTTTTTATTATACAGATACTCTAAATGGTAATTTAAAGGTCTCTTCTAAACGGATGCTGATATGCGCGGCTTAGCACCATTGCGGCGCTTGTTATAACTTTTTTTTGAAAATTTTCATTTTTATCGAGGTGCGGCGCTTTCGCCGAAAAATACGGTAAATACAAAAAGGAAAAAAATTAAGAAAATGAGTTCTAAATGTAGAGAAAACATGGAAAAAATTACAGAAAAATGAGAAAAAAATTATTTAAAAAAAGAACATTTTAATAAAAATTCGGAAAAAAATAAAGATATAATCTCTTCCTCATTTTATTTTCTGTTTTTTTTTTTTATGCGATATTTATAATTTAATGTGTTCTATTCTATTTTGTTTCAAAAAAAATTTTAATGCTCCTCACACCATTGTATTTATATATTTTACTTTGGCTATATTGATGCAATATTAGAAAGCACTAGTTTTTGTGGATATAATTGTGTGAGCTGATGAAGAGATTATATCCTTATTTTTGCTCCGAATTTTTATCAAAAAGTTCCTTTTTTTAATTTTCTTCTCTTTTTTATTTCCATGTTTTCTCTACATTTTGTACTTAGGAAAAGTACCAGTATGACAAGCGATGAGTCGATATTAGGTGAAATATTGCTATAATATGGTTATGAAATCAAAGCAGTGGCTTACAAACAAATTTTTAAAGATAAATTTAACAAGGAGGAGACCGGACAGCTGACAATAATAAACCGACATATTAATCTAAAAATGCCTTTTCTCTCTGAAATAAATGATTAAAACTAATAAATCAAAATAATCTTACATGTCACCGTGAGTACGCAGTTTGCTGAAACTAAGTCCAACTAAAAATGTTATCATTTGAATAGTTTTTCCAAGCCCCATTTCGTCACCAATGATGCCTCCACAGTTCTGCTGATGGAGTTCCCAGAGCCAACGTACAGCAGTTTGTTGGTACCTGTGGAGAAAACAAGTGAGACTTAAATGTTCTTTAGGAATTTGATACATTATACATAATCATGTAAGTCAAAAAGAGAAATTCAAAATTGGAAAAAATATAAGCAATTACATATAGCGAAGTACAAAAATATGTACATAAATCTTAATCTAAAGAAGATATTTTTGAACCATTATTTATAATTACTTAAACTATTTTATTTTATAACCGTCGAACAGCCGGCTCAATTTTTTGGGTTTATGATTACTAATGTTCAACTTAGTAGCTTTTTTGAACCCAATCCAGAAGACAAGAAAACTCCTGGATCAAGTATTGGGAAAAATTTGCCTTCCTGGAGAACTCTTTCGGTGGAACTAAACCACATTTGCATTACATGGAGAGGAAAACCTCCCTCAGTTAGCCTGACAAAAGGGGACTCCCATGATGCCTCTACCACTAAGGATATTTCACATCAGCACTGTGGTCAGAGCAAGTCTGATGCAGAATTCGTATCGACCTGCCATGGCTCGGATTCGTACCCAATTCATCTCATTGGAAGGTGAACGATCTATAATCTGAGCCATCACGGCTTAAACTATTAACACTCAACATACTGCAGTACAGGCAATAGCACCATCTGTTGAGGAATAAGAGAAGTATTTTTGCCATCAGTAGATATTTTATCGCGAAAAAAATATTTTTTTAAATTTCTTTAACAAATACGGAGAAATTTTAGAATATATGGGTAAACAGGAGATAGTCATGAAATACAGGAGTCTGTGTTAAAGAACAAGAGACTTGGCAGGTATGTTTATTATGGTCTTAAAAAATTCTCATTGGCAAACATATATGTGAGGGAAAAAAGGACTTTAGATTTTTATGTAAATTACATAAACTATTAGTTACTTATAGAGTTTGTTCCATATTTTATTTGGAATTTTATAGTCTTCATCAAATTCAGTAATATCCTCATCTGAGTCCATATCGTCATCTTCCATTATCCTCTTATGTTTTCTAATCAATTCCGAATTTTCAAACTCTCTGAAATACAAAATATAGATTATGATGTAAATGCAATAAATTTTAGGAAACTATAATAACTTTATATTAGGTATTGCACTATCTATACAGGGTTTCACAAAATTTTTGGAAGGGGCAGATATCTAAAGAAATGCATATAGGATTTAAAAAAAAGGAAAAAAAACATGCAGTTAATATTTTACCAGCTTATTGGTTATAGATCTCATGAAGCCAAGTTACATTATTATTTTTTCTTAAATAACGTTAATGGAATTCCATTAAATTTAGAGACATTTTGGAAGAAAAAAAAGCTGTGTTGGATTTTGTTATAACCAGGGTATCTGCAACATTTCAGATTTTTAAATTCATGACTTTCCATGACTAATTCCAAGAATTTTTCATGACTTACCAAAGTTACTATTTTCTCCACAAAAACACAACAATAACATTAATTAGGCATTATAATAACATTAATTGAAAATATAGGTATAACCAAAACTGTTATACTCTGCATCTTCATATTTATAGATTTTAAATTTAAAAAACAGAATAAAGAAAGAGTTGAAGCAATAAAATAGCTGAGGAAAAAAAAAACCCATATATTTTTTCTTCTTTTTTTCTGCAGAATTATATTTGAAAGATACTTTTCTAATTCATTAGAAAGGAAAGAAACTCTCCTGACTTTCTGCTCTCATTTCAGAATTTAAAAAAATTTGCCAATAACTGGCTTGCTTCAGATAGAATTTTAAATTGATAAATAAATAACAATAAAAATTCTGAAATCACAGAAGTTCAAAAGATAATTCGCTCAAGAAATGATGTTTTTTCTTTCATTTTTTGAAAGAACACCATAATTTTTAAAGAACATNCTAATCAATTCAGAATTTTCAAACTCTCTGAAATACAAAATATTGATCATGATGTAAATGCAATAAATTTTAGGAAATTATAATAACTTTATATTAGGTATTGCACTATCTATACAGGGTTTCACAAAATTTCTGGAAGGGGAAGATATCTAAAGAAATGCATATAGGATATAAAAAAAAAGGAAAAAAAACATGCAGTTAATATTTTACCAGTTTATAGATCTCATGAAGCCAAGTTACATTATTATTTTTTCTTAAATAACGTTAATGCAATTCCATTAGATTTAGAGACATTTTGGAAAAAAAAAGCTGTGTTGGACCAGATTTCTAAGTGTTGGAGCTGTGTCAAATTCATGACTTTCCATGACTAATTCCAAGAATTTTTCATGACTTACCAAAGTTACTATTTTCTCCACAAAAACACAACAATAAAATTAATAAGGCATTATAATAACATTAATTGAAATGATAGGTATAACCAAAACTGTTATACTCTGCATCTTCATATTTATAGATTTTAAATTTAAAAAACAGAGAAAAGAAAGAGTTGAAGCAATAAAATAGCTGAGAAAAAAAAAAAGCATACTTTTTTTCTTCTTCTTTTTTTCCTGCAGAATTATATTCGAAAGATACTTGCCTAATTCATCAGAAAGGAAAGAAACTCTCCGGACTTTCTGCTCTCATTTCAGAATTAAAAAAATTTGCCAATAACTGGCTTGCTTCAGATAGAATTTTAAATTGATAAATAAATAACAATAAAAATTCTGAAATCACAGAAGTTCAAAAGATAATTCGCTCAAGAAATGATGTTTTTTCTTTCATTTTTTGAAAGAACACCATAATTTTTAAAGAACATGATAAAAAAAATTATATTTTAATAAATATGACTGTGAGTTGGGATTTTGTTACAAATTCAGATATTCGGAACATCATGAAATTGGAGGGGGAGGGTAAATTCTATTTTCGGTGACCCAAAATCCTTGACTTTCCATGATTTTTTTTAAAAATCATGACATTTTGTGACAAATTTTATTCAATTCCAAAATTCTTGACTTTCCATGATTTTTCATGACTTTCCAGGTGCACAGATACCCTGTATAACTTTATTAAGCATGCCGATATCTCTTAAACAGGCAAAAATCATGGAATGGCACACGCAATCAGTTAATAATAAATTCCAGACAGTTTAAGATAATAAATAACAATGTGTTGACACAAAATTGTGCACTAATTTATTATTATATAAATGATTACATCGATACTTAACATTTAGTAAAAAGAAAAATTAACAATAAAAAAATAAACCTAAAAATTATATTTTTCTTCATTTCACATAAGAGACAATTATTACTTGAGACGCTGTCTGGTTTAGCAAATTAAAACTACTGAGAACATACATTAACATTCCATTTCTGTTAATAAATACTGTTACGTTATTTATAGCTGCATAATTCTGTTATAAATACTGTTATGTGATTTCGAATTAATACTTTAGAAAAGATTTTCCTTCAATTCATACATTAAAATGTATTTCATAGAACTTAATTCCTAAATTTTAATTTTAAATTTGTTAATCAATTACCAAATTTTATCAAAGCAAAAAGAACCTTAAAATTTTGTTAAAGTCATTATAACTTTAAACTACTATACTACTGTACATTCTAAGTTTAAACTATTATAATAAAGCCTTAAAAATTGACATTTGGGAATCAAGTTTCATAAATTTTAATTTTAAATTAGTTAATCAATTATCAAATTTTATCACAGCAAGAAATACCCAAAAACTTTACTAAAGTCTTTATAACTTTAAATTACTATACTACTGTACATTATAAGTTTAAACTACTATAATAAAGCCTTAAAAATTGACATTTGGGAATCAAGTTTCATAAATTTTAATTTTAAATTAGTTAATCAATTATCAAATTTTATCAAAGTAAGAAGTACCCTAAAACTTTACTACAGCCTTTATAACTTTAAACTACTATAATAAAGCCTTAAAAATTGATATTCGGGAATCAAGTTTCATAAATTTTAATTTAAAATTAGTTAATCAATTATCAAATTTTATCTAAGCAAGAAGTATTCTAAAACTTTACAGTCTTTATAACTTTAAACTACCATAATAATGCCTTAAAAATTGACATTTGGGAATCAAGTTTCATAAAATACATTTTAATGAAAAAATTATTTAAAACATTACTTAGTGACTTATAAATAGGGAATCGGCATTTACAACTCTCCATAAGTTAAAAAGAGTGTCAGGGGATTTATTTACTTTTTCTAATGAATTCAAAGAAATAATTTTTAAATCTAATAGAAGATGAAATATTTACTTACTTGATTCGTTTGATATATGCTGCATTATCTCCATCATCTATAAATTTCTTTGCTTTTTTAGGAGTTGGTGTAGAATCAGATTCAGAGCTGTTTGTCTCTTTTTTAAGAGAGGCAGATTTTCTTTTACCTTTGGATTTCTTGTTAACTAGATTAAGAAAAGTTTTTTCATCAATTATATTATAAATTTGATTTTTTAAAAGTTTTATGATAAATCTGAATATAAAGCAGAACCTATAATTACATACATAAGGATTGAGAATTATCTGACAAATTTCACACATAATAATAAAGAAATTCTTAACATTATTCCATTAATATATATATATATACATTTATAAATTGGTCATTAACTTGATCTGATAAATAAACAAATTTATAAATTCTGTCTCCATAAATACAAATAAAATTAATGAGAAAGGATCAAATGGACGAACCATTAATGAAGGATAAAATGGCTCCTCAGTATCCACCTCTCTTATTGACCCCACACTAACCTTTACTGTTACCCACATTTATGTAAAGAAAACAATCTTCTTCAGTATTTTCGTTTTCTGACCGTGTCAACAGATCACCTCATAAATCTTAAGGATATATCTTAATTAATGAATATGGAGGTAAGTGCACTTACTGTTATATATTAATTTTCAGCACATTAAATTTAAAAAAAAAATCAAGATATCACAGACCAATATTTGATTTGCAAATAAGTATTTTAATTTCTTTTAATATTTTTAATCTGTTTCATAACATTGGCTAGTGGCTGGGTCGCATGTTAGCAAATTTTCCCTTTCTAAATCTAGAAAAATTTGTTTAAATACTAAGTGTTTTCCTAAAATATTTTGTCTAACTATAAAAATTGTCTTTTTACTTAAGCACCGAATTGTGAATGTCTAATGTGTTCAAATCATTGAATTAAGTAGGATTTGTTTATGTATATAGTTTCAAAGTAGTCAAGAGTTTTGTTTTAATACATTTTTATTTAAAATACTAATTTGTCTTTCATTATTGACTATGTTCCACAACATTTCCTTAGCTATGAGTAAACGATAATGCACGTGCAGTACGGTACCATAAGCCTGAAGGATTGTTTATAATTCCTCTCAATAATGAATTATTTTATTAGATTGCGTGTAATAATCTAAATGAAAAATAATTCTAATCCAAATTACAGCAGAACCGAATCGATTAATATTGTTATTTGATTTTGGGGCACAAGGCAAGTCTGCATGAGCACGTCAGAGAATGGTAATTGATGTTAAACGCAAGAAATTAAACAATTATTTTCCAATGTTATATCACAACACAATATACTTGAATATTAAGTTATATTTTTAAATTTTGTTTAATTTACTCACAGCAAAATTTTTACTTTAGTAAGTAGTCGTTCAGATAACTATACGATCTAATTATATATCATTATTTTTATTAAATGATTAGTGCTAATGTCAAAATATTGTTAGTTAAAATGAACCATACATTCAAACAACAAAACCTAAATTATAAAATTACCACTGTCTTAAAATGGGTTATTCTTTTTGACTTTGCTAAAAATAACAAAAACACCAATTATTTACACTTTTTATCATCCGATGAGTCAGAGTCATCTTCATTTTTACCGCCAGGTATATACACGTCATCACTTGAGTAATTGGCAGCATCGTCTACAATCTCATTGTCACGCTCCTCCGCTGCAAAATCACTCAATTCTGAGTCACTCTTATAGTTTTTCACTAGGCTGCGAGAATGGCAAACTTTCTTAACATAACCAGTTGCATGCTTCGAGCCTAGCTTTACTTTAGGCTTCTTTTTACGTTTGCTGACAGCTTTCAAATCAGTGAGCGTTTTTAAACCAGAAGAATCATCTGACAAAAATGAACCGGGTGGCTCACTCAAGGACGGCCTAGGTGATTTTGAAGAGGACTGAGTCACACTTTTAGGAGGCAGTTTTGACATTTTTTTGATCTGGTGACTTTCAGCCTCTGTGAGTAAAAACTTATCAAAATCAGTAAGCTCATTTTCAGGGAGAAAAATACTGGGTCGTGACGGCTCATTTCTTTGGCTAGAAGCAGCAGACCCAGTTGGCAACATTGTGCCAAATGGTGTCATTTCTCCAGTACGAATTAGTTGTTCTTCTGTTGTTTCCTTGACAGAAAATACTTTCTGTAAATGATATAAAGTCTCTTCATCCATTTCTTCTCCTAAAAAATAATAATAGTAAATATAATTAAAAAAAAAACATATTGTAAAATGCATACAATTAACAACGAGATAATATGAATATCATCTTGTACCCCAAAACCTCCAGTCTACAATAATTAAAAAAATAATAAATTAGGAATAATCTAATAAAAATATATCCTAAGAAGATAAATGTGCACTCAAACCTCAATATCACAACTCAAATGTAAATAGTAAAGATAATAACCATTAACCGTTAAGTCAATAACCGCTTTAAGTTAAAAAAAATTTAATAGTTTAAAAATTTCTCAACATAAAGTGTTTACTCCAATTGCATTACTATTAATTTTGGGGTGTTTTAAGAACCCTTGACAATAGCAGAAAAATAAAATTAATGAAAAATATCCATCAGAGCGTTAATAAAAAATGGGTTAAAAAAATTGGACATAAGGTTTTGAGAAGAAACTCTTCAACATAGGAATTCAAATTAACATTAAATGGATATATAATGCCATAGGGAAAAAAAGTAACTATCATTAAAAAGTTACTTTGAAAGTAACTATTTATTAGAAGTATTGAAAACTGTGTATTTTAATTAAATATTTTTAAAAATTTAGCCAAACTAATAACTGCACTGGCATCTTATAAGTTGTAAACCACAAGCTCATTAAAAAAAAAGAGGGGGGGGGGGTAATTCCAATGAATTTTTTTTAGATTGTTAACAGAAATGAAATACAAGAACTATTTATCACTAAAACAATTTAGAAATCTTATCATCAATAATTAGCACAAAATTTTTACTTTTATATAAATCCAAAAATATGTGCTGAATGATATTGTAAAATAGGCATTAAGTGTCGTCATATACTATTTATATAGACTAGAAAGCATGGCTCCCTGCTCCCCAACCTCTACAATTGATTCGTATTCATAATTGTTTGTTTCTTCTTAAATGATACTTTTTTCCACAAAAACGCGGAATATTTTCAGTTCAAAATATACAATTAGTGCAGAATTTATGTTAATTGAAACGAAATAGACCATCTGACTTGATATCTGTACTTGAAAAAAATTACTCTAACTAATACAGATTCTGAGATTCAATAAGAAGAATTAAAGGAGAAGTAATTTTTCTTATTGAAGAGACTTATAACAATTCAATCAGGGAACAGTGTTTATCGCTATTTATTAAGTCTTTTTTTCACAGATTTTCACAATAAACATTAAAATTTATATCCATGTACTCTCTTAAGCCTGCTACTTTTGATTGACATCTACTCCAGCTTATAAAATAAAGATCTTGTGGGGGGGGAGAGAATAAAATTTCTAGAACAATGAATAGAAAAAAATATTTAAAGAAAAAAAGCTTAAACAAAATTATGAGTAAGTACTCAAAGTTGTAATAACTTTAAAACAATTAAGAATTTCGAAAAAAAAAAAAAACTCTCATTAAAATGCAAAATGATTCTATCAGCAAACCGAATTTTAACTCTGATGTTGTTTGTTTTAATCTTCAAGTTTAAAAGTTAATATTTCTTGAAATTAATAATCAAATCATAATTTTTTTATTCTATCAAACTTTTTGTAAATTTTTCTATACAACTTCGGAATTTCAAGTTTGTAAGTCTTATAGATTTTAAGTAGCAAAGTAAAATGTAATGCAAAACATTTCTGCGGCATGTAGAGCTAGCTCATAGGGTGTTTTTTCCAACAAGAGTTCAGCAATTAATAATTCTCGAACAAATTAAGGAATGCTAATTTCTTTTAATTGCATTGTAATCCTTGAACTTTTCTACACACCTTAGTAATTTCAAGTTTTTAAATCTTATAGTTTCTGTGCATCAAAACAAAATTTAATGTTAAGTTGAAAACCCAAAACAGCCCTTATGATTTTTTAACATAGTTAGAAAATTAACTTTAGAACAAAAACATAACAACCACATATAAAGCAAAACAATAACTAATATTGTCTTACCCTCAAGATTAGACTGCAAAGCAGAATTAACTTCATCAACATCCCCAGTTACACAGGCTTGCAATGCTCGATGCTTTGCTTCCAGTTTTTTCAAGTGCTTGAGCTAGAGTTAAAGAAAAGCATGATTATTTTACATAACTTTAAATATTAAAATATACTTTAGTTTATTTCAAAGGAAAAACCCGTCAATGTGATTACATAGAATTTAATTTAAACCAACAACTATTATAATAGACAAAATCATATGTACCATAATTAGAGTTGGCAAAGGTTAGGACAGAATGGATTAATCCATGGTTTTAACCAAAGTTTAATCCGTTTTGCCCAAAACCATTTAAAACTCTTTTACTCAAATTATGTCATAATTTTAAAAAAAATATTGTTAAAAATAAAATGTTAATTTTTGAACAAGAAACAAAATGAAGACTATTTTTTTTTAATAAAAAAGTTTATTATTATTTTTAATATTGCATTATTTATCTTTATGCGGAAACATATTATATCAGTATTAAAAGCAAATATATTCATATTTAAGGGATAGTGTATTCATTTTATTGCTCAATGAATTGTGGAGCTTCGAAAATTATAAATCTTTTCTTGTTATATTATTTTCCTTTAGTAAGTTAAAGCTAATTGTATAAAAATTATCAAATATTTATTAATATATGTAATTATTAAGGCCCGGATTTTGATGACATTTGCATTTTTTTAAATTTTTTGCATTTTTGGACATTTTTTGTCTTTTAGAGCATTTTTTTAGATTTATAGGGCATTTTCTTTAAATTTTGGGGCATATTTTGCATTTTAAAGCATTTTTTAAATTTTTTGTTAATGTTTTCTAATTTTTATTGTTTTTTATAATTTTTTATTATTACACTGGCTTCCAAACAGTGAAGAAAATNTATGTCACAATTTTAAAAAAACATTGCAAAAAATATAAGGTTAATTTTTAAACAAGAAACAAAATGAATTCAAGTTTTTGTTTCATTAAGAAAGTTTATTATTTTCAATACAGCATTATTTATCCTTATGCAAAAACATGATTTATCAGCATTAAAAGCATATTTAAAGGATAATATATTCACTTCTTTTGTTCAATGAATTGTGGAGCTTCGAAAGTTATTAATCTTTTCTTGTTATATTATTTTCCTTTAATAAGTTAAAGCTAATTGTATAAAAAGTATCAAATATTTATTAATATATGTAATTATTATGTGTAACACCTATAGAATTTTTACCAATGTTCAAGTTTTGGACACTTTAAGACAGTTCAGGACATTTTTAGTCAGTTTAACACAATTTAAGACAGTGAAATCCATGTGTCCAGTCCGAAACCCCAACCTTGACCATTATAATATTTTGTATAAATTGAGGGTTATTAAAAGAAAAAAGAAGAGGGTAGTGATATTAAACTGTTAAAAACCCGAAGTGACAGCTGAAAATAAAGAAGAAAATCATAACACATTACTTTTCATGTTCCCAAAAAATATAGCTACAAACATACTCCTCTTTTTATCTATATTTCATTAAGAAACTAATTAGAATCTTACAAACTTTTATCAAAAATTTTGAACAGATTTGAAGAAGTTTTAAGGACTTAAAATGCTTTAAAGGATAAAATTTAGCAACTAGATTTAATAGAACATATTTCAATGAATAAAATGAAACAAGTATTTCAAATTATTATTCAGTTTCTTAATAAATAAGGTTTCAATGTAAACATAATTCTTTATAAGGTCACATGAAATAAGTAGAATCTCTCTTCTGATTGAAGGGAATGCAAACTATTCTAATTCAACAGTAAAATAATTGACTTCAAACTTGGTAATTTTGGTTTTGATCTATCAACTCTAGAACAAGATCTGAATTAAGCAAATTACATAAATGGCCATTCCAGTATCCAATCACAGTTGTACACAATTGATACGCAATAATGAATATAGCTCAATAAGATATCTTTTAATTATTTTATTCTTTTCAAGTTTTTATAGCTAAAGATATAAATGCTCTTTTCAGCTAAAAAGAGTGTTTTTAATCTTTTAAGTGTATAAAATCTGCCCCTGAGAAAATAATAATGTAATGAGGAATTAAAGAAACTCTACTATCAAACATTCAAATGTTAAATAATGCATACCTTGTTTTCCTTTTCCTTTTTGATAGCAGCTAACTCTCGTTTTGCTGCAGATGTCAACACATTAGGAGCTAAAGACAGTGCTTTCTCAATATGTACTAGCCGTTGTTTAACTGACCTGTCATTAAATTATAGATACATAAGAGCAAATTTGAACAACTAAAAATAGTGGTATGATAAAGTTTTGTATCACTTATTCAAAGAATCAAACCATTTTTTTAAAGTATTTCAAACATATTAGAAAGCAGAAAATACAGATAAGCTTATCATTAAATCAATAAGCTTATTATTAAATCAAGCAGGAGAATCATATATCTTTATTCTGTTTTAAAATTACTGCCCTAAGAGGTATGGAGAGAAGATAAAATATAATCAAATATTCTGGTCCTATTGAAGGAATACGAATGAAACTTCCAATTCTATATGAAGAGGAGGTTGAGGTATCAAGTGAAAAAAATACTGTGACCTCCTCTTCATATAGAATTTGAACTTTGATTCGGATAACAGCGAAATTAAAAGATAACTTTTCAAGAATAAAAAAATAGCTAATATTCTTATCTGTATGCTTAGTTAATGCATTATTTATAAATGTTATAGCAATATACCATTTGTTGGCAAAATTTAAAACTATTTTTCATGATGAAAACAAAACCAATGGTCTACAAAAAGTATATTTAAAGTTTCATTCGGATCTTCTCAGTAGAACCAAGCTTCTGAGCTCTGTCAATTTAATTTATCACCCTCTGCAACCACAATACTTAAAAGTGAATAAAAATGCCCGTTTATGGTTCTACTATCTAATCTTTGAGACTGATCACAATATTACATTAAGAAAACTAACTTTTCAAGTATAATATTAGTTTTTATTCAATGGTTATATATGAACATAAGAGATAATTAAATTTAGGAAAGGTATGTTTCCTCTACTGTGGGGAAAAAAATGCGGGAAAAAATATAGAAAAGAAATTATACAGAAAAAATAAGTTTCTTTCAACCCAAGTGGAAGAAATAGAAGAAACTTCAAAATGAAACTTCAAAACAATTTTTTAAGCAGTTTATAATTGCAGTCAATTTTAAATAGAATTGATTTCAAAGCAATTTATCTATTTTAAATAAGGGAAAATTAAAAAACAATTGAAAAAAAATAAGTTAAAGATTTTTTTCGAAATGTTAAAGATGGTTTTCCAATGTTAAATTAAGGCATAAAGTAGAATCGAATTTTGTAATTACATAAAGAGCTGTTAAAATAACAGTATAAAATTAAGTTAATAAATCAAACACTAAACTTATAAACTAGTACAAACCACACATCGATTTCACATTTTCAAATAACATAGTTATTCTGATCAAACACTGTTAAGAGTTTGCTGCAATTGACTCTTAAATAATGTACAGTCGAAAGTCCCATATCAGGAATCGACGGACTTCAAGAGGTCCGGAAAATAGATTTTTCGGGATAATAGGTCTCTAAGGTATATAAACGTAAAAACAAACATCCTTTTTCAATAAAAAATAGCAAAACAGACTATAATTAATGTCAATTTCAGTCAGCAACATATAAATCCACATGGTTTGCCAAGTGCAGTTTTGGCAAAAATTTTAATATTCTTGAAGGATATTTTAACAGATCAGGGAGATTTCTATATCAGTATCTACAACAGAATAATCGTCAAATTTCTGTGACATTCCTGTGGTAGCAGTTCTGCAAGAAACTAACAAAAACAACATAGACCAAGTTGAAAGGTATAACTCATAGCCACTCAGGCGAATATTTCCGTATTGAGATCTATCGTGTCAACTACAATTGCCAAGGTACCAAGTAGATTTTAAACTTGCAAATACTTTTTTTTTAAAAAAAAACACCCATCTACATATTAAATTAATTTTTTTTTAATTTTTCCAGTTTAAAATTAATTTTGTGCCTTGATAATTGTAGTTGGCATAGATCATAAAATGGAAACACCACTGAGAAAATAACATTATTTTTTAACATAAGGCGAAGTGTAGTAGATACTGATACAGAAATATCCCTCACAGACCTGATTTCTTTTCAGTGTTTTCACTACAGCGCGAGAAAGCGAGAATCTCACATATTTTTTTTCAGTTCTCGCATTAAAAAATAATTACCGCGAGAAATTCGCGCATTCTATAAATTAATTTCAAAATTTGCGAATTTCTAGCATTTTGGAAAAGGCTTCGAATTACGCCATTTAGAATAAAATCCGTTTCACTTTTCTTCCTTGATCTTTCATTATTTTCAACATCTGCCTCGTTATCTAGCTTCCCTATTTACCAGTATTGTTCAGAACCTTTTCCAACAACAGAACACAACCCCTTTCATAACACATTTCTCTGCAACCACGTGTTTACCGTAAGGTTTCTTCGTGTAAGACGTTCAAATTTTTAATGCACTAATGAAAAATACCTTGTAAAGGCAAAATATTCTATGATGATGCAGCAAAAATATCCAATGCTTTAAAAAATAGAAGATGTTAACAATGTGTTATAATTAAAAAAATAATTTTTTTCCCAAGAGTTTTTATGTTTTTTTAGTTTTTAGAAATCTCACTTAACTTTTTGAAATCTCACCCTGTTTCTGAGAAAGGGTGAGAAATTCTCACCCATTTTTTTTCTATGATGAAAACACTGCTTTTGTTAATAAATCAAAGTAAAAGAAGAAAAAACATACTTGATATCATCCTGAACTGATTGTAGATCTTTTTTCACATCACATACCCTCCTTTTCTCCTCCTGAGACTTGAATGCTTTATCAACTTGATTCATAATCTCACTTTCTAACTCTGATTGATCATATACATTAACACCCAAATCCTGTAATTCCTTATTTTGCTGTGATTCGGGTACAGAAGATATAGTATCTCTGTATGCAAGGAAACTTTTAGAGGAAGATGGTGTACTAAAGATATCTTCATTTGAAATGTTGTTTGTAGAAATGATGCCTATGGAACTTTTAGAAGAAGAGGGTATGCTCACCACTTGTCCATAATCATTTTTAGAAAGTTCCATAGCAGAAGGTGAATCGTTTTCTGACTCTATATGAGCACTTTCATTATTTAGTTTTGTTTCACAGCATTCATCAGTATCTGTAATTACGTCATTACACATTTTTAACTGATCAATTAAGGGTACTTTTATTGAATTTTCACCTTCAGAATCATCATAATCACAATCTATCATTTGCTCGTTTTCTGTAATAGGTAACAACATCGAAGAATAATCATCTACATTTTGTGCACTTTCCATGTTGTTTGAATATTGAACACAACAAACAATTCTATTCAGAAGAAAAGTTAGATTATCGAAAAACAATGCTTGGATCTATGAAGTAAATAACTGAAAAAAGAATTTAAAGTTAAGAGGCTAGCTTCTTTTAAAACACTTTATTTATAACTTGCTGTTACTTGTTATTGTTAAACCGCATCCGGTTATATAAACAGTGTTTAGAAATCGATTTTAGCTGCCTATTTTTGTACGTCTGTGGAATAGATTGTTTTGCTTGCTGAGATTAATGAGCCTTAAGTTTGGCAGAAACAAACAGCCAGAAACGGATATCATCATTGGTGACAATAATAAACAAACCATAAAATGAAAAATATGACTTAAAACGTTACGTATAAAAATAATTGAATTTAAGTTCATAAAAAGTTTAGTGGTCCAGTGTAATTTTGTAGAAACGTAAGTTATCTTTCGTGAATAATACAATTCTGCTTGTTAATTTATAGAAATAAATATTGACGTAGTACGCATTTGTTACATAACAAAATCATGCTGTTAGTTTTTAAAAAAGGACTATTTTAAAGTTTTATTTGTTAATGCAGGGGTTTTAAATGACCATTGCAGGCAATTTCTATAATGAGAAAAAAGCACCAGTAGAATTAGATTTCTTCCAATTCAATTTTAAGAAACTCTTATACGAAAAGAAATATTAAAGCAATTTTTTTAACACAATTGCAATCTAGTTTAAAAATACTATTAATTTTTAAGCTATTTAATATATCATTTTTATGTTAAGAAAACCAAATGCAGCAATTGGAAGGAAAAATAAATTTCTTGAGAAATGAAAACAACTGGTAGTTTACTGATATAGTAAACCCTTAATTCTAAAATTATTTTAAGAATTTTTTATTATCAAATTTCTAGTTATGATAATTAACTATTAAGGGGATATTTCCGTATCATGATCTGTAGCTCTAACTAAAATCGCCAAAGTGCCAAATAGGTTTAAAACTTGCAAATTTTTAAAAAAAAAAGAAAGGAAAAAAACTTGTAGATGTTTTCCTGGGATTTGTTACGCGTTATACCTTTCGAGTTGGTCCTTTTCCGTGATTTTATTTTTTCGCCGACCGCTGCTCGGAAAATGCCTAGACTTAGCAATTATTCTGCTACACAGATCACGCTACAGAAATCTCCTCTTTTAAAAAATTTATTGCTTTTAAATTGTTTTCAGGAATTTGGCACAACCAATAAAAAATATATGTAAAGCCCTGAAATCCAAAAGAAAAAAACTCTTAAATGACTTACCTTAACTGACAAAAACTCGGTAGGTAAGGCACTTTCTTAAAAATCAAAAGGGAGGATTTTGACAACACAGTGTTCTTATTGTAATATTATCTTTAAGTAAAATAATAAGTTTTAAATACATTTTTCTTTATTGAATGTACTGTTTTAAAAGTAATTTTTCATTCACAAGCTCTAAAACTATAAATTCATAAGTGGTTGTAGTGTAAATCCATCGAACTCATATCTTACTAGGAGTTCCAGGATCTTAAGTTTTTTTAAGTGAAACTACTTTTAAATAAATACTTTTGAGAAAAGATCTTTTGTATCACCTATAATCACAACTCAACTAAGTGACAATATAGTTTTCGACAGTTTTCTGAAAGAGAAATATAAATAGAGAAAGAAAAATATAGAATTTTTTGAAGTCTTTTATTTATATTTACAGTGGATGTAAGTTTAACTTTTTAGGACTAAACATTCTTCTAAAAGACTCCTGACTTTTGCAAAGTTTTTGGATGTTACAGTAAATCTTTAACATGACTACTTAAAGATTGGAAAAGTTAAACTTTATTTAATAAAAAAAGATTATTTCCTTGAACCAAATTTGTTTAATAATAGAAATAAAATAAAAATTTCAATGCTTTTTCAAATGCTTTGTTTTATATTAGTTCTTACTTTATGAGTCTAAATTTAGTTGTATAAAAAAAAAAAACCTTGAGTATCTTTTGATCTACTTATCATTTTCTATGAGACTATCTTACTAGTTCTAGAGTATAAATCTGAAACCATAAATTTTCTAATGAATTAACCCATTAACACACATTTTTTAAAAATTCAAAGGGCAAAAAAAATACAGAATCAATCAGAATTTTTATTTTAATTTTGGATTTTGAAAAAATTACATTTTTGGATAAACAAACGCCATAGCTTACAATCTTATGTAAATGCTAAATATGAACTTGAATAAATAATTTTTGAAGAATTTTATAACCTTGAATAACTTTTTATCTAATGATCATTTTCTAATGATTTATTAAGTTTAGTATTTTATCTAATGATGATCGTGAATTTAAGAATGTATAACTAAAACTGTAAATTTCCTGCTTAATTAATGCATAAATTTTTTGAAAGGAAAAAAAAACTGGCAAAAAATATGGAATTTAAAAATTCTGAAGTTTAAATAGGGCTTAATTTTTATTTTATTTATTTATTTATTTGAGTGAACAAATGTTGACAATCCTTTGTAAAAGATAAACATCAATGAAACGATTTGTGTTCTTAACTTTCACATTATTATTCTTTTCTATTCTTGATTACATTAAGTGCGAAAATTACAGCTGCGTAAAATAATCTAGAGTGTGTTATAGTTTGACCTGTTTAGCGAACTCGAAATTAACTCAAGTGCACACATTAAGGGACTAATACAGATTAGTAAATAATTGTTTATTTATTTTTTATTATTATTCAATCGAACTTAACCGACTAATTTCTTTTAAATTTTGAGTTTCGTGATTTAAAATTATGTTAATTTTAAGATAATGTAAAAAATTTTATACTTTCCAAATAAAAACTGTTTAAACTAAATAAAAAAGTTGAATTAATTGAATTACCATATTTTGTACTTAGCCCTCAAGCCAGTAAGATTGCAACATGGTATATGAAAACTTAATATCTAATTCTGAAATAAAATGTATTGATTTTTTTTTTTTTTAAAGTTCTCTACACCCAAATTAACGTAACATATGTCTGTAGTAAGTATGTTGTAGCTTCAATACTGTTCTCATTTATTTTATTTTATATAATTACTGTCCTATCTATCAGAATTTCTTTTAACCACTTTTACCAATTTTTTTGAGAAAAAAAATGCAAAAAATCAATTGATTTTTTTTGTGTTATTAATAAATACCAGTAAATAAAACAAAGCATAATGCACAAGTTTTAAGTTGAAATTTAATTTTTTTTTTTTTTTTTGAATGTATGAAAAACATTTAATTTACCATCAGTTTACTATCCTGAGTTATCTCTGGCAATTGAAATTAGTTAAATATAAGTCTTTGAATGATAGTTTTTAAAACAAGGGACAACACAAAAAATTATATTTTTTAAACGCCAAATAAGTGATACGCCATTTTTGTTCATTCTTTTTTTCCATATGTAAATTCAACAACCATCATACAATAGCACAAAGTACGTGTGAAGTCTTTCAATCCATAGCAAAACTTGGTAAACTTCCAATTACAGCAGATTATTATTACTTTTTTTGCTTCAGGCCAAGTAAAGTACTGCCTAATTTTGCTACATCCGAGTTTTCTTAGAATAATAAATATTTGTACTATACTTATACCCGAGTTAATTCTGGATGATCAGGGAAATAATAACAAAATTTGCTGACATGCCTATTATGGATTCTATAAGCAGACATGCATGATATTACACGAACATGCAAATGCTGCTCGCAGTAAATTTGTGATCATAGCAGAGACTTTAACATGACTCGTTATATAATAATAAAAACATTCATAATATTCAAAACATAATAAAAACTTTATATATATCAGGGGTCTGTTTAGAAAAAATTTGGGTTCGTTAATGGACCCTTCACAAAATATCTTTTCATAAAAACGGACCCTTCACAAAATATCTTTTCATAAAAACGGACCCTTCACAAAATATCTTTTCATAAAAACGGACCCTTCACAAAATATCTTTTCATAAAAACGGACCCTTCACAAAATATCTTTTCATAAAAACGGACCCTTCACAAAATATCTTTTCATAAAAACGGACCCTTCACAAAATATCTTTTCATAAAAACGGACCCTTCACAAAATATCTTTTCATAAAAACGGACCCTTCACAAAATATCTTTTCATAAAAACGGACCCTTCACAAAATATCTTTTCATAAAAACGGACCCTTCACAAAATATCTTTTCATAAAAACGGACCCTTCACAAAATATCTTTTCATAAAAACGGACCCTTCACAAAATATCTTTTCATAAAAACGGACCCTTCACAAAATATTTTAACTTAAAAACGGACCCTTCACAAAATGATTTTTCTTTTAATCGGACCCTTCACAAATTTGTTTATCTTCATTATTATTTTGTTAATCGAATAAACCCTTTCCAGGGCAGAAAACAAGAAAGATGGATGTAAACGAATTAAGTTTTGTCTTCGGCAGACGATTCTTCCATTATTCGTCCGAAATGAATATTCTGCGTTCAGCAGTATAGGCTAAATACCAAATATTTGTATGTTGCATCTCTAATTTAGAAGCAGCAATTGTTGTTTATTTTTTAAAATTTAATTTTTTTAATTATAATTTTACAGTGTTGAGCATAATCTTGTATATCTTTACAATTTAAAACAATTACAATTTTGCAATAATTACAATTAAAAGTTTGCAATAACGGACCCTATTTGCACAAATTCATAAAAGCGGACCCTGGTTGAAAGAATGTGAGTAATTTTTTCACAATTTCACGAAAAACGGGACCTTTCACAAAATGTCTGGACAGACCCCTGTATATATAATAATAAAAACATTCAAAATTTCCATATACTATCCTGCAGTCGATTTTAAAAATTCAGATAGAACAGAAAATTTGGTGTCAATTACTAGTTTTATAACTTCAAAAAACTGAGAACGAAATATGTGCCGATATATATAATAATCATTGTATCTGTAATATATATAATAATCTCTGTATATATAATATATAAGTATATATATAATATATAATAATCAGTTTTATAAACATTATAGAGATTAAACACTTTTTAAAAAAATCCGTGATTTTTGAACAAATTTTGTCAGAATTAAATAATAACGAAAGAAACGAAACTAATGTAAGAGTTATATTATAAATTGCTCACAGAAATTCCTTCATTTTATCTAAGTCTGTCTTTAAGGCCTAAGAGAACAACATATAATACTAACGAAAATGACTTATTTGTATATGGAATTTTATAGTTTTGTAATGATTTTTTTTAAAAAACTTTATTTGTTTTTAGGTCATTTGAAAAGCCTGGCAATGTATTGTGTTATTCGTCATACTAGAAACATCAAGCTTCCTTCTTTTGTGTCTTCTACCATTTTAAATAGGACGAGCTGTTATCAGCCATTTGTGAACAGAACTCTATTGAACCAATTTTCTTCTTTAGCAAAAATCACATCAAAAAAATCAACTAAATTTCAAAATGTCTTCTTCAGAAGTAAATACCATGAGGCTCTTGAGCAAAAAAATAAAAACACTTTCTATTATCTATCAGCATTTACTATATTAGTGGGAGGATTTACTTATTCTTCTGTTCTTCTATACAGACTGTATTGTCAAGTAATATTGATTAGTTTCTAAAAAGTTGTCTTTTTTTTATTTATTATGCTTGTTAAAATGGTATATTTTGGGGGTAAAAATTAGGAATATTCTCTCATTGGTTCAAAGGATTAGTAACTATTTTAAAAAATTTGCAGAAAAGGCTAATAAAAGAGAAACTTATTTTTTATCTTCCACTAACCTTTCTAACAGAATCCAAATAAATAGCTACTGGCCCAAATGCAATCTGGTTTCATAAGCCAAATTACATTTCAGTTGTTCCACACTGGACTGACCATAAGACACTTCCCAGTAGAACACCGAAGTCAAGCAGCCGTGGCTACGGTCAATGAACATGTGGGCAACAATTTTAATCAGCCTGCGAAGAGACTGAGGGTGCGTAATATTGATCCCGTTAATCTGCTCTAGTGTTAAGTGCTCAAATTTGTACGCTGGTGGTCGAGTTAGCAAAGTGGGGGGCATACCCTCTTTGGAGAATCAAAATTGTGATGGCATGTTTTTGGATCATCATCATGGATTTTTCCCAGACCATCACCAATAACCCATTGTTCATGTTGGAAATACAATCAAGTTCTAAGTTTTTATAGCTGGATGCTTACAGTTTTGTGTCTTTATATTTAAACCATGACAAATGAAAGATAGCCTCATAGTGTTTATCAATAAGATAGATCCATGATGTGTGTTGTCTGAACTACTGTGGTATTCTTAATTTTTCCCTACGGGAGCAAGCATAGTACAACTAAATTCAGAATTGCCTCTACTTACTTTACTAATTATAATGTTATATGCAGACGACATTGTTTTTGGGTTTTCTACCTTTGTTGTAAATGTATATAAGTCTCTACTGCATTAACTCTCACTGTTTAGTTTTTACAATTCTCTGGCCTTGTAGAAGGTTTTTTTTAATCTATGCTATGAGCACATGTAAGTATCTGGTTCATAATGTTTGTTTAAATTTAGTGTATTGCTTGTGTTATCAACAGTTATGTTTTCATGTTTTAAACAAAACATAATGTTTTACCATTCTTCGAACGTTACTCTGTTTGTCAGAAATAACCATGTCTAGAATATCCCATGTGTTAGAATGTCCCGTGCGTCTAGCTTCAACTATCATTCCATGTTCAAAATCTGTTGATTCTGGTCTTGTGGTCATAATTACATCAGAAACGTTCTCAGATGAATAACCTCAACACAAATAAAAGTCCTGCCGGTGCAATACCCATTTCATTTTATTTTATAATCGTCGTTGGACAGTCAACCCAATTTCAGGTTTACAACTACTAATGTTCAACTCCGTAGCCTAGTAATTTTGAACCCAATCCAGAAGACAAGGGTACTCCTGGATCAACTAGTGGGAGAAATTTGCCTTCTTGGAGGACTCTTTGATGAAACTAACCCACATTTGCGTAACATGGAGAGAGAAACCTCCCAGGGTTAGCCTGATGAAAGGGGACTCTAACCCATGATCGATCTATCACTGACGATGTTTTACGTTAGCACTGTGAACGGTGCAAGCCAGGTGCGTAATTCGAATTCTGGTCATCACTGGGATTTGAACCCAGCTCATCTCATTGAAAGGCTCTATCCCCCGAGTACCTCATTGGAAAGCTCTATTTCCTGAGCCATCACGGCTCGCACTTACCCATTTATACATTTTGTACATGATACTACTGCCATCTGTATATCGACAACACAGATATACGAATCATAGCTTGTGCTATTGTAGTAAAATTTAACATAAGATTTGAATGTTGCTTTCAATTCCATAACAATATAGCTCTATTCAAATTTAATTATTTTATAATTTTATTATTATTTATTAATTCAATTTTCTCTATTAATATTTATTTACGTTTGCATATTTGTAGATGATTATGAGTGTATATTTTTTCAAGTAATTATGTCCTTAACTAAAGTGCAATTATAATTATTATTTCCTTTTTTTAGACAACTGGTAAAGGTGGACAAGCAGTTGTTGAAGATGTTGGAGACAGAATAGCTGAAATGAAAGTAGCCAAGCACCGCAACATTGTTGTTAAGTTCAATGCAGACGTTAATTCTGCAATGAGATGGAATTTTAAACCACAACAACCTTTCATAACGGTAATAAATTATAATTTTTATTATGTAAATGAAGTTTATCTCACGGTTTCTGCCATTGTAGTATTTTTGGAAAACGTGAAAAGACTCTGCAAAAATGCTAAAATGAAACACCTTTGTGCTAGAGCAAAAGCATTTTATCAAATTATATTTCAAAAAATAAACAAACTATAACATAAATAATGCAATGTGAATGTTTTCAAAAACGTTTGTAATCATAGTGATATGAAACATGACTGTTTTTATTCATTTGACTTTTGAATTAGATTTTTTTTATCAAGTTATAGTACCATATATCATCACAAGTGTTAGGATAAGTTGGTGAAAAAGCTAACAAAATTATGTTAAGTACTACTTATGAGTTACTCTTGAAAGATATTTTTATGTTATTATGTTTCTAATACCAAAAATTTCAATCAGACGCATAATATGTTTCTTTTTTTATTGTTCTTGTGGAATGTTAATTCCCACTGCTGAGTGATTTATGCAAATTAGTTAGTATTAATAAAATGTTTTAATGAATATACTATTATTTGTAATGAGATATATTTATATAACAGTACTATTCTTTTACCATGAGCACTGCAAGGAAATTCATTTAATCATAAATAACTAAATAAAACATTGAATTAGGAAACAATGATATAGGTAAGAAAAGCCAACAATATCAGATAACAAAAAGGCAAACAATAAATTTAATGTTCATTAAAAACAGTCTGTAATATTTTTCAGGGGCAGAAATTAAGATAATTTTATCTCTGAGCCAAAAGGACAACCAACTTAATGATGTCCATTTGTATTAGATTTTTTAAAAAAATGTTCATAAAGTTACTTTAAATGGAAAATTATGATACGGAAATTGTATAATGTTCACAATTATGATGAAATATGCTATTTTGTGACAAAATCACAATCCGAAACACTGAACTACACACCATGAACTGAAAACAACATAGCATCCCTTTACATTGATTGTTGTTAAGTTTATTTTATGGTTTTTCCAAATTAAATTTCAGTGGTTTTAGCAACATAAATTGTCAACACCTTTATTTCTTGATGCAGGAAAAAAATTTATAAATTATACAATATTCAATGTCCCATTTTTTTAATTATATTGTTATAATGAGGTTTGTGCAGTGAAACTTCCTGGAAAGACCACCTCTGTGTAGCAACCTCCTCTATTTCTTAGCACTTTTGGGAGGCACAGATTTTTTCCATAGATTTTGCATTGAAAAAAACCTTTAGGAGAGACCATCAAAACCTCACCCAGCAACCAGGCAAATCTCCGCACCAAATGCGGAAAAGGTCAAATAAGGATACAAGAAAAAATATCAAGACAAAAAATATTAAAACAAATAAGCAGATTTAAATGAATTAAAAATATTTGTGCGTGATTCTTATTTAGAGAGCTTTTATTTAAGATCTTTGAAAGAAATTGACAACCTCTTGTTTCAGTCAGTGTGCACTAAAGAAATTATCAATGATTTATTTTTAGAACTAAAAGTTAAATTTGAAAAGAAAAATAAAGAATTTTTAGATAAAAACTAAGCATTTTAAACAAACAAACCTTTTATTTTTTAAAAGCTAACTAATGTTTATGATATAAAAAAATAAATGCTAACTGAAACAAAAAACATAATTGTTTTTTATTTGAAATAGTTCTATCAATTGGTAAATTTATTTTTATGCGTAATTACATCAGTAAAAAAAATTTTTTTTATTGATGCTAAATTTTATTCATCGATCCAGTTTTCATGACGCCAACACAAGTGGCATTTACGCAACACTGAGTAAAATTAAAATCCTTTGTGAAAAATCAAGTACCTTTGATAACATTTTGAAGTCAATGAAGGTAACCCTTAAGAATGACCTATCTCCATTAACGACCATTTTACTGTGAAACAGAGAGTGGTCACTCTCGAGAAGTTTCATTGAATTACTATGTACAATTTATTGATAACAAGTTTAATTCTAATGCAGGTTGCACCAGGTGAGACAGCTTTGGCTTTTTACTCAGCTTTGAATCCTACAGACAAGCCTATCACTGGAGTGGCAACATATAACGTCCTTCCTTTTGAGGCTGGCAAATATTTTAACAAAATACAGGTAAACATGCTTCATAAACAGGATATTCTTGAACTGCATTTTAACTGATGACTTAAATATGAAATGGCTGCATTTAAACTTCTTTATTATAGACTGGCTATTCTTGACAATATACTTTTATTTATCAAAGTTATCCTACTTTTAAGTTATCTAATAATTATTGTCATAAACTACATTTAAAAAAGCTCAGTAATAGTTATCAAGTTGATCACCAAATCATTAAAAACAATTTCTGTTAATAATTATTAGAACGTCTGAAAAAAATTACATAAATAAAAGTACCAGTTCAAATGTGCGTGAACAGCCAATGGGAAGGCACTCAACGGGGCATATAGTTTGTCTATGTAAAGAACTCCCCTAGCCAGGTGATGACTATGGTTACGAGGTTTATATTAAGTATTATTTGGGCCATTATTTAAGACAGGCTTTGGCTCGGGTTCCTGAGAGAAAATGAATCAAGGGAGAAGAAGCTTCTCTCTCTGTTCATTTCCATAGCTGCAGACGACCTTAGACTTCGTGGCTAGGGGTTTTCTTTCTATAGACAAACTACACAGTGACTTTTATGGTCATAAGTTTCTGTGCAGTCATCAGTTGCATATATATTTTCTTCAAATATTTTGATAGTGTTAAAATAATCTGTATGTTAGTGTTTCATAAACATAAAAATAACATACTTATCTTTGTGTATATTAAGAAATGCAATAATGAGGATAATTTTCTTGACATTTCATGTAATTTATATATTTATTTTTTATACATATATTGATTCTCAAAATTTTACATATTTTGCTTACAAATAAAACAAAAAAATCTGAGGCAAATTTTATAACATAAATTTTCTGTTTCATGTTTAGATATTTGGTTTTTGATATTTACAACAGGATGCCACCTTTTTGTGGAAATAATATTTATAAATAATCTATAATTATAATAATTTATTGATATTAGGAAATATTTCCAAGTTAAAATTTTCTTAAATGCTTTAAAATAACCTTCAACATAATTAATGATATTAAAATTGACAATCAGAAATATCAGAAAGTTTACCTTGCAAACAAATTAACTTTATTAAATAAATAATCTTGCTCGCTAACTGTTGATTCAGCTCTTGCTAAACTCAACACACCATTTCTTCTAGTCCTTACTGTGAAATTGTTACCGTTTTTTCTCCTAATTTATTATAAAATTGCTAATACCCTCTCCCATTTAGGTTTTTGGTTCCTTTTTAGGACTGTTAACGCAATTTAATTTAAGTTTCTTAAAAATCCAATCAATTTATGAAATCACTGGGGCATTTACCACATACCTTGCCAGTTCAACCTTGGTTACATAACCGACACGCTTTAAAATTTAGACTTAAAGAACGCAATATATAAGTCCATTATCAAAATTATGATAAATAATCAACCACTGCATATTATTGCAATCTTGGGCATAAATTCTATTTTAAAAATATCAAAATTATTTCCACCCTAGTCACATCAGCTTATCTTGATGCCTTGGAATCTTGTTTCATTCATATGAATGCTGATTCCCTTATTAATGACATTAGTTCCTCATCACCTTTCCATAGTGTGTGGAAATACATTTTAGACTGATTTGCCCCTCTTAGCTACTGTGGCTTTTCTTGTGTGTGTGTGTGTGTTTTTTTTTTTTTTTTTTTTTTTTTTTTTTTTTTTTTTTTNTTTTTTTTTTTTTTTTTACTCTTGGCTATTGCAGTTTTTCTCCCCCTAATTTTCCAATTTTTATCTGCAACTTTGCATTTTACATTTCGAAGTAATTTTTTCTTTTCATTCACGTCTAGAAAGTCTTGAGAATAATCATCTATTTTTTAAGCAAATGAAGTTTTTTAATCAATATTAAACTTTATTGTAAAACTAGTAATTTTTTTCTTCTCCACTAGGAGGCTCCACTCTCCAAACCCTATGATTGATTCTTTTTCATCGTAGTTTATAAGCTCTATATTATCCACAAAAACACAGAATATTTTGGTTTCAAAATATACAATTACTTTATATTAAAATGTTGTGTTTACATGTTAATCATAACAAAATAGACAATTATCTAGGTCTGAAAAATAACCATCTGAACATTAAAAAAATTATAAATAACCTTAAGGACACAAAATGTTTGACTCGATAAAAAATAAATAAGTAATTTTACTCATAGACGAAACTTATTTCAAAATTGGAAAATAGTTCTTAATGCTCTTAATAATTTTTTTTTTTTTTTTTAAATTTCACTAATTTGTTAAGATTTATATTTAGCAACACGTAATCTCTCCGTTTTTGCTACTTTTGATTGACATCTATTTGAGTACGAGTTTATAAAGTAAAGATCTTATGAGGGAAAAATAAATTTTCTACAACAATGGAAAAATAGTTCATATTTAAAATGAAAAAGCTAAAAGAACCAGGAAAAATTGGAATTGTGAATAGAAAAAAAAAACTCTATGTTTAGTTCATAAACAAATTAAGGTCCTTTCAGCATTCCAAATTTCAATTCTGAAGTTCAGTCAATAAATGATCAAATATTTTTTTTTTTATTTCATCGTAATCCCTGCATATTTTTTCACAAACCTTGTAATTTCAAGAAAGATATGACTTTAAGTTGAATACCCAAAACAGCAGCGTTGGTGCTGGCCCTATAGGTTTTTTTATTATAGAAATTAAAAATAAAACATCATTTATAAATTTAAAAAAAAGAAAGATGTATTGAAATAAGATGCTATTTAAAAAAAAAAAAAACAAGAATTATAAATAAACTGCAGTAACTGGCATCCTTTTGTGCATTAATTAAAGATTGGTATTATTATTTTTACAGTGCTTTTGTTTTGAAGAGCAACAATTAAATCCCCATGAAGAGGTAAAAATTTTATCTTATATTTTATCTGTACATTATTACTATATTTTTAAATATAGTGTAAATTTATTATAATATTGTCTGGTTTAAAAATAATAAAAAAAACATTGTGTTTTTAACTGTATTAGTATTTCATAAATAAATGTAATAAAAGCATTGTAGGTCTTTATGCTGTTTGTTCTAAATGGAAATTAGTAGGGTTCGCACCAATGTGGTGACATCTCGACAATTGTCTCTAAAATGATATGCATGGCAGACAAAATTGTAGTCTTGAAATATGTTTAAAAATTACAGTGAATTATATGTATTTCTTTTTATATTTGAAGTAGCAATGCTAATGTTGCATTGAATTACTCAGTTTAAACTTTCTTCATTTAAATCAAAATCTATATTTTCAGGTGGATATGCCTGTATTTTTTTACTTGGATCCTGATTACGCTGAAGATCCACGCTTAGAACATGTTAATGACATCATATTATCATACACATTTTTTGAAGCAAAGCAGGGAATGCAATTACCAAGACCATCATTTATGTAAACTGTTGTTTATTTATCACAAAGTTTAGAATAAATTATTTGATTTTGTTTTAACTACTTAAAGAGTATTTCTTGCTCTTCAACAAACGATACATTTGAACAGCTCGGGACCTCTCGTTTTCGAGTTCCTTTCTTCTGTCTGGAGTCATATCTTTCATTTTAGTCGTCACCAGAGAACTCTGTGCTTCATTAGTCCTGTCATTTTGAGGCTTTTGTATTTCTTGATTCTTTTTTGCCACCAGGAAGAAAATTTAAATGATTATATAAACAACTTTTTAATCTAGGTATCATCAATCAAAAATACAATAACACAGAAATAGATATACAGTTAGCTTTTACGGAATTCACATTGGAGCGATTTTAATAAATAAATACTACTTAATTGTATATAGGTATAGAATAATGATGAAATTATGCATGAATTTACTATCAATTAAAAAGAGCAACATTCTAATAAAAGCACTAAAGTAAAAAATTCCCTGTACATATTATATTATGCACAATATATTAAAGAGGAAAAACGCAATCACTCTGCTCTTTTATGAGCTAACTTATACTAGTTATAATTGCTAAAAAACTTAGAGAAAAAAGGAACAGCTGAACATACTTTAAACAAATAACACCAAAGTTATTGAAAGAGTTTAATGTAACTGAAATATTATCCCTAAATATCCCATAGATTGCACTTTCAGTGGTTACTATTTTTTAAAAGATAAAAATAGGAAATAAAATTCCTGGGACATATTATACACAATACATTAAGAAGAAAAACACAATTGTGCTCTTATATGAGCAGTATTGGGCTAACTATACTAGTTATAATTGTTAAAAAACTTAGAGAAAAAAGAAACAGCTGAACATACTTAAAACAAATAATGCTATAGTTTAATATAGCTAAAATATCATCCTTAAATATTCCATAAATTGCACTTTGAGTGGTTACCATCTTTTAAAAGACTAAAATAAGAAACAAAATTCCCTGTTATTTTAGGTAATTTTTAAATTCTCTGTATTTACTAGATTTTTCCTATTCTTGCCGTGAAGTGGCAACCCTGAGCATTGAAATTTTATTCTTCATTATGAAACTAAAATGATAAAACTACCCACAGCATCATTGCGAAATTAATGTGTCGAAATTTAAATTTCACTTGCCATAACATAGCACACAAAAGTATTAGAGATTGGAAAACCTTGTGAAAAAAGCCCAAAAAAGTTTGAATGATAGATGAAAAAATTATCCCCCAACAGTCACGTTGATGGAATTATCACAAATCCAACGTGTCAAGAGTGATAACTAAAATTCGAATATCATGTTAAGAATTTAAATATCCACGCGAAAAGGGCTTAAAAAAATGATACATAACTGCCAAAGAAAAACTATCCTTAAGCATCATGACATTAAAATGGAATCGTAGGGAATCAAACATGCCAGAAAGTTATAATTCAAAACTTAAATTCGCATATTGTAATAACTGAAAAAAAAGCTATGATCAAACAATGTGAAGTTACGATGGAATCGTCAGAAATCGAACGCATCAAAATTGATAACTCAATGATTGATAACTAAAAATTGAAACTTAAATGAATCTTTGATATTAAAATCACGGGAATATTGTGATATTATCGGATTCTGGTGTAGTTTCAAATATTAAAAATTTCAAAAATCTGACAATCTTAAGAGTCAAATTTGCTGAAGAATAACATTTATGAAAACGTCTCTTTAGCGAAATTCTCAAATTTTAGATTATGGAACTTTGGTCGGTTTATAAGTTTTGTTTCATGGAAGTCCGCGAAACAATAGTCTCAAAATACGCAGAATTATGTGCATTTTGTTGAAAAATCACATGCCTTGCTCCTAGTTTTTAGACCTGGGAGTGTGATAGGAAAAACCAGGAATCTTGTGCTACACCCGGGAATACAATCACCCTTGAGTAGTAGTAAAATAATTAGGAAGCCATTGTTGAAATTTAAACCTGGGTCATCTCCCTGGCTCTTAATAATAAGTGAATACTTTTGTACTTACTTTTTTTGGCAATGCAAAGGCACTTCTGGATTTAGCAGATAGAGTGGGCGGTGCCATCACAACATCTCCAAATGGTATATGATCTACATGTAAGCAAAGATAAGAAACTCATTAAAACATGAAAATAATTTAAGACAGGTAGCTACACACATTTTAACATCTTAATTTTCATATCACAGAATCAATTATCATACTTTAAATTTAAACTAAAACAATTTAATTTAAACAATAGAATAGAAATATGAATGTGTTTAAGATATAATACAGTTTTAACATATAAAAACAACTTTTAACAACAGTAGTTTTTTTTTTATTGTGATATGAAAGCTATTTCATATAATACAACAAGAGAATTTTAATACAACAATAAAATAAAAATATTACAATTGTGATTAGTAATAGAACTTGATTACTATATATTTTTCTTTTTTGGAGTACTATAAAAACTATTTTATGTAATATAACAATAGAATTTTAATAGGATAGAACAGAAATATTTAAATTAGTAAAAATAAATTACCATAGATATTTTTAATTTTTTGGTATAAAAGTCATTTTATGCAATACAATAAAATAAAAATATTACAATTTTAATTAGTTAAAATACCTTAAATAAACTATGTATTTTTTCATTTTTTAGAGCAATATAATAGCTATTTTAGGTAATACAACAATTAAATTTGGATACAATATAATAAAAGTATTACTACTAAAACTAACTTTATCACTATATATTTTTATAATTTTTGGAGTAATATGAAGACTATTCAATATGATACAATAGAATTTTACTACAACTATAGAATAGATATTACAATTGTAATTTAGTTAGTTAAAATAACTTAATTACTTTATACTTTTATATTTCTAGTAGTAATATAAAAGTTATTTCATGTAAAGCAAGCTAAGTACTGAGCCGAAGAAATAAAAATTAACAGACATTTTTTGGAGCAGTATAAATATACCACAAACTAGAAAAAAAGGCATGTATAATCTNTTATTTTTAATTTAGGAAATACTTTGTTTAGAATAGTAAGTTTCAACAGTTTCCAGTATAATTTTATTAATGGAACAATTTGTAATAATTTGAGATCAATATACAGAAAATTTTTATAATATTGTTGCATTAAAAAAATAACCAGTATCAATTAGTTTAGATTCCTTCATACCAATATATAATTAAATTTTATAACCGAATTAAAGACTTGTTTAATCAAATAATTTGAAAGTTAATATGTTACTTAATATTTTTTTATATGTGTACTTAAAAGATTGATCAATTCACCAATAAAAATTCTATGATTACTGTATTGTTGATAAGAATTATTCAATTTTAAAAAACTAGTTGAAAGAGATTAATTAATAATTACAAAACACATCTCTCCATGTTCCTGCATCCGCTGAAATAATAAATAAGCATATGAGTCTTGAATTCTTCGCTAAAAAAATTCCATAAGTTTGAAAGTAAAATTTCCTAAGTTTGAGCAATCAAACTTAGCAATTTTTAATACCATTATTAATTTTTTTTAAAAAAAAGATTTTGGATCTAAAATCCAAAACTTTAAATTCGCCAAATTGATTATTTTGTATTTGTAGAAAATTGGATGTTGTAAGCACACAAATATCAATAAAAAAATGTGGTAAAAACGATAAAAATTGGGGCAAAATGTTTTTATTCGAAATTTCAGAACAACTATGAATGCTGAACAATAGAATTTTAACACATGAAATTATTCAAATTAATGACAAAAAAAAACTAAAAGAAAGAAATAATAAAAATTATATCTACAATCTTATTGCAAATACAGTGGCTAATAAATTTTAGAGTATGAAAAATTTCCTGATCACAATAGGGTGATTCCAATAAATTTTATTTCAAAGGATTCATTACTTAAAAGCCCTCTTCTAAGCGAATGATTTAGCCTGAAAAATGCTAAAATTAACGTTCTTAAAACAATACTTCAAGTTCTTAGGTAAATTAGGTCTGAACTTTTGAGTAAAATTCAACCACTTGACAAAATTAAGATCAATTCTATAAGTAAATGAATTCTTGCCACCTTAGCGATATATTACTCAATATCCATAAACAGTGTTTAAGAAAGAACATGGTCATATTTTATTTTATATCCGTTGTTGAACAGCCGACCCAATGACATGTTCACATTAAGATTAGCAAGATTTTTCACCACTTATCCTCCCATCTAAAACCGCTTTGCTTAAAACCCTCTTAAACTGCACTTTCTGTCCATAGCCCAATTAAGCAATGCAAAAATATTATGATTAATTTATTTAAAAAAAGTGTTATTAAATAATGTCTTAAAAATTGAATAAAAAATAGTTTTATTCTTCCAGTCTTAAACTGTTCGAACGACATTGTAGGGAAATTTTATGTGAATAATGAACAACTAAGAAAATGACAAAAATTATAACAGATTATTAAAACTAAATTGGTATCTGGTTTTTACTAGATATGTCATAAAAGAACACTTTTGCTTCATGAGTCAAAACTATTTAAATTAAAAGCTTTGTAGATATAATTTGAATAGATAATGATAACGAATTTTTAAAACTTTTTTTAATGTTAGCTTAATAAATTGTAGAACTTTAATTGTAAAATATTTAAAATTAAATATCAATTAAAAAATATAGATCAGAGACGCCAACTCTGGGCAGAGGATAAATATTTTCGAGTGGTAGTCTTTTAATGTATGATTCTAGGGTTTAGAAAATTCGATTTATAGAGCTTTTACTCGATTTATAGGCTTACGTAATACGCCATTTTATCTCAGCCAAGCAGCGTTGAGCCTTTTAAAAAGTTGGCGAAATTAACCAAAAATCAGCGAATTTTAGTTTGTAGTTTTCTACCGTTTTTTAAAATATTTTGTTGACTCCCAAGCAGTTGACACCTCTGTTAGATATTAATTTTCTATATACTAAAAGTGTGTAGTCTTTAACAGTTAAAGACAGTTTAAAGTCTTAACAGTTTACAGTTTAGCAGAGTCCTGTGGAAGCTTTTGAAGGAAAAAAATTAAAATTAAAAATATGTATTTTGTGAAAATTGAGAAAACATAAAAAAATATTTTGTATAACAATATACATTGCAGTTTTGCAATTAAAGATACAGTTCAATATTATTTTAAAACAAAATTTACCCTTCTTAAATTCAAACTCTTTATCATCCGCTTTCAGTTTCTTTTTCTCTTTAAGTCTCTCTCTGTATTTCTTGCGTTTTCTAAAATAATAAAATTAATGCTGTACAAACTGTGATGGAATATATAAATTTTTTTATTTTCATAGCATATTTGTACTCTAAAGAAGTTACATTTTCTTTATATAATTAATTAATTTTGTTATGAAACACACATTTATTTTAAGCAGACATTGCAGCAAATAATGCCAGGCAATGACCCATACATCTTTGCCAGCTTATTATTAATTATGCAAGGGAATTAATATAAAAGTATGTTTTTCTTATTGAAGAAAAAAAAATAACATGTGAACCTACTTGTTAGACCAAGATATTACTTTCAACTAATATTAATAAATCAACTGAATAATACTAAGAAATAAAAATATTTCATGCTATGCATGTTTGAGATTATATACAATGACTAGATAATTCGTGAAACATTTAATGACTTCATTTGTTGCCTGTCAATTTTCAGAATTGTATACAAAACTTTTCCAGTTACATATGCAAAGATATCACATGTACTTAAAAATGTAAGAAGTAGTAGAAACTTAATTCATTTCCAATTTTATTATTTAATTACTAAATGGCAACTACCATCATGACTTACGTTGGAAGTTACCTATATTTAAAGCAAAAATATTTTGGGCTTAAGACTGACTGATGCATGTTAAATCTGTCGAGTCGCAATGTCCTCTATGTTCCCATAACAAATCAATACCTCTGGCGGTACTGATCCAGAAGTTTCCTTGTCTTCTGGATTGGTTTAAAATTACAAGGCTACGGAGTTGAACATTAGTAGTCGCGTAAATCCAAAATTGGGTCGGCTGTTCAACGATGGATATAAATATTTTTGGCCAGATAGTGTAGATTTCATCACTTTTTTTTATAATTTTCTGCGCATGTGGGACCCTTGCATCTGTAAAAATTAAAAATATGATTATCGTTGCACACTTACTGTGTCTTTTTTGTTTCATTGTTTTCGTCATCCAGTGATTTATACTTAGCATTTCCATCCTTATCAACACTGACTAGTTTAATATTATATTTCTCTTCAACTTTTGCTTCTGCTATTGCTTTGTCAGCCATTCGCTGCAGTCGATTGATAAACTGATGTTCATTTTCATTTTTGCTCTGTTTCAGAATTTTTGCAGCTCCAACACCACCTTTATCTTCAACAATCTCATTTTTCACTGAAAAATAAATGCATACTTTAAATTTGTTAAGGAAGCCATTATGGATGAAAATTGCAGAAATCTTCTAAGACTGGAATTTTTAATAAAAAGGGGAACAAGCTGTATATTTTAAAAGTAAATAAAAAAAACTAAATTCATAGTTGAAATACAATAAAATCTCGCTACAACAATATTTTGGGGACCAAATAAATACAGTCAATTCGCTATAACTCGAAGTACGATAACTCGAATATTACTATAACTCGGTTTTTTTATGAGGTCCCGACCCTTTTATCTTCAATTTCATGTTAATTATTCTTGATTACTCGAATTTTACTCCCTTTAACTCAATTTTTTTGGGATCTTTTTAAGCAAGAAAAAAACCTAGGAGCTGTTATCTCGCCCCTTCCTTTGCAACACACAAACAGTCTTTCGCACTCTTCATGGAGAAGCTAAAGCTGTCCCTCTTGAAGTATGTGAACAGTGGTTAAATGAAACGTTACCAAATTTACTTACATACTGGATACAGTACTGGATTACAAATTTACTGGATACAGTTAAAATGATGTTTTCAATATTGATGAAATGGGATTATTTTTTAAATGTCTTCCAAATAAGACTATGTTATGGATGAAAACTGCTCAGGGGGTAAAATGAGCAAGGAACGTTTGACTGTCCTAGTTAGAGGAAATGCGTCTGGGACAGAGAAATTGCCCTTACTTGTTATCGGAAAATACCGAAATCCCTGATGCTTCAAGAATGTAAAAACGTATCCTTTGGATTACAAGTCTAACAAAAAGTTTTGGATGACATCAGTTTTATTTGAAGACTATGTAAGAAAATTGGATCGGAAATTCTTCGCTAAAAAAAGAAAAGTGATACTCTTTATGGATAAATGCACAGCGCATAGTGATCTACCTAAGTTGAAAGCAGTAAACTTGCAGTTTCTCCCGCCAAACACAACAGCAAAGTTGCAACCCATGGATCAGGGTATCATAAAGTGCTTCAAACAGTCTTATCGTAAATGGCTTGTCAGAAAAATGATCTTAAATATTGTAAGCATTTAGAAGATTTGTAATTAATAAGCATTAATTAAATAATCCGACAATATTTTGAAAGTCAAAAACCGAAACTAACGGTAAGTCGAACTTCCGATATGTCGAAGTTTTTTGACAGTCCTATCAGATTCGAGTTATCGCGAATTCACTGTATATTGTTGTAGAGGGATATATGGTTATATAGAGGGCCTACATACTTAAAGGACACAAGATATTTTTTTAAATTTTAATGTTACATATGTATTAACTATAACTATATTTATATATTATACAATAAATTAATTTGTAGAATGTTATTTATGGTTAAATATTAGAAACAATATAAATAAATTCAGAAAATAAGATCGTGAACATACCTGAAAACAGTTTTCATTGAAAATAATCTGATATTTTTATTTGTTTAATTTTTTTACTGTCAAGTCAGCCAACAAAGTATGCATTGAATCCAAAGCATGAAAATGTTTTTTGTTTGTGAATGGTGCTCCACCCACCCTCTTCAGAAAAAAATCCTCCTTCAGGTGTTTATGTGATGCCTGTGGTCATTTGTGACTCATGCATGATCAGCTTTTAACATGAAGGAAATGAAAACAGATAGGAATATTACATCTGTGACTTCTCAAGAGACAAGGGAGGCAATTCTAAGAATGGAAGCTTTTTTTGGAGGTGGTCAGCAGTGAGTCTTCTTTTGTAATAAATGATGGAAAAACGGCAAAAGATGATAAAATTAGATTTTTCACATTATTTGAAAACTAATAATAAATGGAGAAAATAAGGTTGAAATTTAGAAAAAAATCATATTACAGGGGTTTATTGCTTCAGAGAATATCGTAATATTGAGAGGAAAATAACATTAATTCATATGCAAGTTCATCAGGACCATGAAACATTATCGTAATGAAGAGAGTTATTGTTGTATTACAGTGTTTCCCAAACTTATAACTTGTGTACCCTTTCTAAATTTTCCGTAACGCTGCGTACCACTAATAAAAAAATTTATGTATTTTTTACTATAAAAAAAAATGCGCAAAAGTTAAAAATCACAACTGGCTGTTGACACCACTAATTATTAACTGTTAACTCTGCAAAAAGTAGCCAATATAAAAATAAGTAACCATAAATTTTCATGGCTAGCTTTCTTTTGAAATAAAATTCTTTGAAAATTTCGTTTGTTACAAGATATTTCGCATAAGTACGCGTACCACTCTTTGGGAAACACTGTTGTATTAGATACCGTAGTAGCGAGTTCACTGTATTACAATTTTAACACATGAGAGTCACAAGAAAATGTGTGCAATTTAATTCATGGTCTATTCATCACACAATAATTCACAATTTATTAATTTAATCTGTGGGCAATACTAGAATACTCAAATACTAGAGTAATTTAGATACCTAGAGTTAATATGAGAAATTCTAGATCAAGACGAAACATTCCTCTCAAATACTTAGATTTTTTAGAGATAAAAGTGAAATATTACCAACAATAAAATCATTCTTATATGTCTTCTTCTTCTTCTTTCTTTTTTTAACTTTTCCTAGTTTTGCTGCATTTTTGAGACTGATGAATTCTTCCATACCGTGAGGAGCTTTCTGTTCATCTCCATTAACTGGTGGTTCATTAAACTGCAAATGCCTATAAATACAATACAGTTTAATTTTTAACTGATATTGAAACAAAAAGAATTAGACACTTAGATAATACCAGTGCGATAACACGATAATGATTTCCTTTTTAAAAAAATTTTTTTTTAAATTTTACTCAGGGTTCAGGCTTTTAACGTCCTAGGTCAGGGATGGCGAACCAATGGCACGCGTGCCATTTATGGCACGCGACACAATATTTTGGGCACGCCACCGATCACATTTGTTATTACACAAATGGTATTACACTATGAAGCATATGTAACAATTAAATTAAAATTCACAAAAAACACACAAAATAATAAACAATTATTAATAAAAAATTATCAATTAATGCTAAAAAAAGCAATTAATAACCATAAAAAAACAAGCTAACAATAAATAAATAGCAAAAAAATTAACAGTCCTGCTTAAACTAACATCTTACAATAGGGGTGCACAACCTTTTTGAGTGAAGGGCCACTTGCACAGCAGGTTGGCTAACGAAGGGCCGCACATGTATTTAGACATGTTAATGACAAATGTAATAATGTTTATTTAAACATTAGCGTTCCATTTTTTTNTTTTGTTTGTTTTGAAAATCAAAGATAAGGAGAAAAACCAGTAATTTTTCCTGTAAGGAAATTTTTGACTTCAGAGAATGTGAATAAATTTATTTTATTCTCATTCCTATTATTCCCTTTATCTTATTATTCACATTATTCCTACAAGTACCATTATCCTATTAAAGTTCACTTTGATGTACTATAGACATACGCTATGAATATTTGATATACTATGATCGCGATTTTTTTTGTTTGTTTTGAAAATCAAAGATAAGGAGAAAAACCAGTAATTTTTCCTGTAAGGAAATTTTTGACTTCAGAGAATGTGAATAAATTTATTTTATTCTCATTCCTATTATTCCCTTTATCTTATTATTCACATTATTCCTACAAGTACCATTATCCTATTAAAGTTCACTTTGATGTACTATAGACATACGCTATGAATATTTGATATACTATGATCGCGATTTTTTTTGTTTGTTTTGAAAATCAAAGATAAGGAGAAAAACCAGTAATTTTTCCTGTAAGGAAATTTTTGACTTCAGAGAATGTGAATAAATTTATTTTATTCTCATTCCTATTATTCCCTTTATCTTATTATTCACATTATTCCTACAAGTACCATTATCCTATTAAAGTTCACTTTGATGTACTATAGACATACGCTATGAATATTTGATATACTATGATCGCGATTTTTTTGTTTGTTTTAAAAATCAAAGATGAGGAGAAAAACCAGTAATTTTTCCTGTAAGGAAATTTTTGACTACAGAGAATGTGAATAAATTTATTTTAACGATAGAATGTGTAGATATCAGTGCATATACAAATCTTTACAAGAGGAAAAATCGTTTCATGAGCTTTTGAAACTGTTTCGAAATCTTAATGGCTCATCTGTCATCTTTGGTATCTCAGAGATTTGCAATCAAATCTCTTGAGAAATTTCAGTGATACGGGGTCAGCGTTGATAAGTCTTGTTGGAAGAAAGATAAACTATTTTTCGCAATCAACTTTAATCTGATGATTTAATGGGAAAATATTTCGAGTGATTGAGTTGAGATTTACTCATTAATGCGAAAACACGTTTTTTTTGTGGCTTTTATGAATGTGAACTTGAACTCTGCCGTTTCCTCAGCAGCTGATTGAAATTAATTCCAAAATACAATTAACAGCTTGCGAATCAAATTTGAAATTTAAAAATTAGCTCCAATGTATTTGTTACGAAAAGATCTTTACGCAGCAGGATAATTGAATTATCCGTCAGTTTGCAAAGGTTTGGCACTGTGCCAAACTAATTGGAAAGTCCTCGGTATTTCGTTAAAGCTTGATATTTTTTAGGCTTATTAAATTGAGCTTACGTATCTCAGTGTTATCTCATACAAAAATGCGTTTGTGGCTTTTACAAATGTGAACTTGAACTCAGTCGTTTCTTAAGCAGCTGATTAAAATTAATTCCAAAATACAATTAGCAACTTGCGAACCGTTATATATTTTTTTAATGGCGGGCACTTGGGATGTATTGTCCCATTGTCCTCTTAATGCCAGAACTGTTACTCTCTTCTCGTTACCCAGTGGGCACCTGTGGCGAAGCCATGGCGGTGGAGCAGCGTCGCCCACGTCACACAACCACAAATCCGTTTATAGGGCCGGTCACATTCACACAAAGGAGAAAGGACATAGAAGATCAAGAGAAAGAAACATCCATGCCCTGAGCAGGATTCGAACCCGCAACCATCGGGTCCACAGTCAGGCACGCTAACCACTGGACCACCAGGTCGGCGGTTACAAAATATAAAAATTTAAAAATTAGCACCAATGTATTTGTTAAATTATCGTCTGACGAGATCTATATGCAGCAGGATAATTGAAAGATCCGATGCTTAGCGAACATTCGACATTTTGCCTAACTAATTGGAAAAGTGGTCGGTATTTCGTAAACAGTTTTTAGGCTTATTAAATTGAGCCAAGATATCTCAGTGTTTATACATGCTGTTGTTGTTGTTAATTTACGTCGCACTAGAGCTGCACAATGGGCTATTGGCGATGGTCTGGGAAACATCCCTGAGGATGATCCGAAGACATGCCATCACAATTTTGATCCCCTGCAGAGGGGATGGCACCCCAGCTTCGGTAGCTCGACGACCTGCACGCGCAGTCGAGCACTTTACGGTAGAACAGTTTAACGAGGACCGATACCGCACAGCCTCGATCTCTACGCAGGCTGATCCGAGTGATCACTCACCCGCACACTGACCGCAGCCAGTGATGCTTGACTTCGGTGATCTGTTGGGAAACGTGACTTAACGATCAGTCCACTGCGGGACAAAGTTTAAGATATAAAAGTGTGTAATTTTTTTTAAATTAAAGGTACGGGTTAAGAAAGTAACGCATAAGAAAAGTAAATTTATAAATATAACACATGAAGAAATGTCACGCGCAAGAGCACGTGAAAAATGTAAACGTGTAAAAGCAAAGCTTAAGAAAAAGTAAAAAACGCGCATGAAAGTTAATAAACGCATGAGAGAAGTAAATGTGTTAAAGTAAAGCATAAAAGTAACGCATAAAAAGAGCGAAAAATTAACGAGTGAGGGAAGTAACGCTTATGAAAGAAACGAAATAATAACACGTAGCTCCGCCATACGTAAACGTAAAGAAAGAAATATTTTTAAAAAAATGAGAAAGTTTTCTGGTATCAAACGTATAGGACATCTATTGATGCGAATAAAAGGAGAAGCAATAAATTGCATTGTCATGAAACTCAAATATTATACATTGAATCAAAATAGATGTACAACGTTTGTAAGTTTACTGTAATCTAACTAATAACAATATCTTGTCCCGTTGTGGGGCTTTTAATTTGTCTGTAATTATTTCACTTGGTAAAGTAGTATAGTATGTTACAATATAACATCGGATTGAGTTAGAAAATTATAGGTTAGTATTAAGGGGAATTATATTTATAGATATATAAGCAACAATGTCTTAATTTTAACTTTTTTATTATTAACGTTATAAGAATTTTTTAGCATCATCCCAAATCTCATCAGTTTAAAATGCAATAAAATTAAATTTTAAAAAATATAAAAACTGACAAATGTGTAGATTTAAATTGCAGACACAAATAACTTTTTTTTTTCCGCTTATAAATTTTGAGAAAATTCCATAGAAGTTCTAAAAATAATCAAGCTCTCCTTATGTAAAGATGAGAACCCTTTACCTCCCTCCTTTTTCAAAAGATATTGTGCCGTCGAATATTATCAAAAGTTCAGGGACTACTTAGGGGGCTTAAATCCCCTCACATTTTATAAATACAGAAACACAGAACACAGCCCCTTTTAAGATTATGGTTTTTTTCTTAATTCTTGTGGAATTAAATTAACTATAGGAAAATTTATAAATTTTTTTGCCTGAATTCTAGAAGAAAGAAATGTATATTTCAAGCAAGCTTTAAAATTTCTGCGGTGAAATCTTATCCCTTACTCATCCCTTCCCTCCGCAGAGGAAATATGCGTCCCTATTGCTGACCGATGTGAAAATTCTTGGTTTCAAATGCCACAGCAAACAGAATAAATAAATAAAAAACAGGGAAACAGAATAGAAGAAAATACCATTGAATGAGCGATAAATAATTTACACGTAAACAATTTCTTTTATAATTTTAATTTAAAACAATGCGAATCATAAAATTGAAATTGCGCGCAAGAATTCTTGTTAATTAGAGATCCAGTTAATAGTAATATATATATACTCCTCCCCTCTTGAGGTACTAAGTTGGTTCAGCACAAAAAATATCAAGGAAATGAAAATCAAAAATTTAACCTAAAATCGAAGATAGCAAGAGTAGAGGCCTCTTAAAACGTCATGCGAATTTTTTCAAAAAATTATATTTGGCGCTGTAGGATTTATTTAAAATTGATTTCGTATAAAAGAATGACAATTACGAAAAATGTTAGCATATGCCTAGCAATAGTTTTATAGGTCATCTTTAAAAAATTTAATTTCGTTCAAAACACCTAAACCTTCTAAAAATTTCATGAGTGGACATTCAAGGAAATTTCTTAGAATAATGTAAGGAATAAGCGAAATATTTTTGGAGAATGCTCTTATAGGCTTAAAAATATAAGTAGCATACTTGCCAACTTTTAGGCACCTTTTTCCAAGTTGTATTAAAATAACTATTGATGTGCACGGCCCGACTTAGCCTAATTCAGTCTCAGGGCAAAAACTTCTTTGGGGGGTCCCCCTCTGCTGCACCACTTCAGTACTGAAGAACCGAATGCTATGGAGGTATTTAAAATTTTCCCCTCATTATAGATAACAACAAAATTGATTAAAACCTAAAATAGCTATAAAGTCCCCCCCCCCCTCCAATGGTCAGATAAAATATCGTTCTGCCCATTTTATTGATTTTCTGACAAGTCTATGTCCATCATGCCGAAAGCAGTTTTCTGATTGTTAAGTTTGTCTGTTGTTGTTAATTTACGTCGCACTAGAGCTGCACAATGGGCTATTGGCGACGGTCTGGGAACGCACTGTCTTGGCTGACCGCCCTCTTATAACCCTAAACTTTGGCGATCTGGTGAAATGGGTGATTGCCAAACGNCTACGCAGACTGATCCAAGTGGTCACCCACCCGCATACTGACAGTAGCCAGTGATGATTGACTTCGGTGATCTGCTGGGTTGTTAAGTTTTTCATCTAGCTGTGAAAAATTCATATCCCTGCTGACATTAGGGAAGAATTCAGCTAATTCAATATGAAGCCTGTATTTTTGTAAACATTACGCATTTTGCGATATGTAAAAATAAAGGCTTTTGATTGGTCAAATTTGGCCATTTTCGTAATTGCGAAAATTTAGCTGAATTCCGCCCTAGAAAGCCACGGATTTACGAAACATGCATTGTGTTCATATGATAGATTAATGAAAAAACTAACATAAAACTGATGGATTTTACACTGTACAGATATTTTGTTTAAAAAAAAAGTTCATTAAAGAAGGAAACGTAAAATAAACTTTCTATTCGATTTGGGGCCCCTCTATGATGTGGGAGCCCAGGGTAACTGCCCCATATGCTCTTACCTTAGTCAGGCTCTGTTGATGTGATATTGTAGGCAAATACTTAATTCACCATCACTCAAAACACAATAAGATCTATATGTATGCTTAAACTACTTTAATTTAGTGGTATTTCAAAGTATATTAAATCAAATTTGTTAAAATAGGAATTGTGTATGTATGAACAAATTTTGATGACAGGATATGCACAGGTATATAGAATTAATTTTGATCAAAATTATATCTGATTACTATCTCATGTACTGGTAATTCAGAATTTTTAATTTTTTGCACTGTGGGATTTTTTTATGAACTGGTTTTATATAAAATAATAGGCATAGTGTTTTCTTGTAATGCAATATAGAGAAAAATGAATTAAGACACAAAATATTCACAATTAATTCATTTCTTTTATTTACACAACAATTACATTAAAAACATTGTTATCTATAAAACAATAGCAATGCCAAATGGTATTCAATACAAAGAAGTCAAACTCTTATCAACAAAAGCACAACAATTCATAATTACTAATTAAAAGGAATTTCATCCACTAACAAGCTCTCCTATCCATAGTTGCCAAGCTATTTTCTCCCCATAGTTTTTGAAGTACCCATAAGTAAATAAGTTTTGAAGTACAAGTTTTTTTTTCACAGCAGGAAAAAAACCCTATTTTCTTTCAACTAATGAGGGGAAAAAATTTATTAAACAGTAAAACATTTTTTTTAAACAGTTTATAATTGAACATTATCAAATGAGTGAAAATCTAAAAGCAAGAATTGGAAAAAAATTAATTCAATGAATTTTTTAAGAAATTAAAACTTTTCAATTTTCTTCAAATTTAGAATTAAACTTGTAAACACAAATAATTTTATTTATGAGCATTTATTAACAAAATCTAATTTTATTTTTTTAAAACAGAAAATGCAGTTCACTAAAAATCAATTCAAATAATTTATCTAGATAGAAAAATATATATACATATTAATTTAAACGAGAATATAAATTCCATTTAATTTGCAATGCAAAAGTTTTGAAATTCTGCATCAAACTAAAATAAATAACATGAAAATAGTAACTTTTCAAAAAAGGTAAGGAAAAAACTTTAAAATAACTTTTACAATATTAAATTTCATTTCATTAACTTTAAACTAGTTTTATAAAACTTGTGCAAGATGACTACTTGAGGTGCATTGTTTTCGTGATCAACTTATGGAGTAGAGGGAGACATTGTTTTTTCCTACTAGTATTTCTCATTTAATATTATCCATATACTGCTCAGATGTTACCAATCAAAATAAAGATAAATGTAGTCTAATTTTTCAAACACGATTACAAAATTTTATTTATCAAATGCCAATGAATATTAGGAACAGATATTAGATTAACAGAATGAAATACAATTATATTTTAACTAATTAGTTAAAAAATAAATATGCAAATTTTGTTAATGAATGCCAGGTATTGATTATAAATGATTCCTTAAAATATCAGTACACAACACATATAGCGACCAGAAAAAAGTCCCTCCATAGGGAAGGGAACTACAGGAACAAAGAACTACAATATCTCAGAAACTGCTGTACTGTGCATAGATTGTTCACCTTTAGGTATTACAAATAATAGCAACCAAATATGCTTTGTGCATGCTGTAATTGAATCAAACACATTTATTCACCAAATTTTTTGTCGTTTCATTTTACTTTTGGGGAATTTTTTCTGGTCAACCCAGAGCCGGATTATACCTTTCGTAGGCCCTAGGCATAGCCGTTTTTGGGCCCTCCCCTCCTCCCCTCTTTTCAAAATATATGCTAAAATTTTCTTCCATATTTTTTTTAACATTTTTATTAATATGGATTTTAATTTACAAATTTGTTTATCGAACTTTATCTGCAATACCGACCGACATAGATGAATTTTTACTATTTTCAAATTTGTATGAACATAAATCTGCACAAGAAATGTTGAGGGCTCAAATTAAAGATAAACTTGTGAATACTTTTCCTAACGTTCACATTGCATTAAGAATATATTTGTCAATTCTTAGGTGTTAATTAATTGTAAGCTATTATTTCNCGGCTTTTTGTAGCGATTCAGAAAACCGGAAAAATCAGTTATCCGGAATAGCGATGGTCCCAATCGTTCCGGATAATCGGTTCCCTACTGTATTACAAATAATAGCAACCAAATCTGCTTTGTGCATGCTGTAATTGAATCAAACACATTTATTCACCAAATTTTTTGTTGTTTCATTTTACTTTTGGGGAATTTTTTCTGGTCAACCTATATATCCAATTGCAAAATATAATATTATATTCATTTCACCCTGAATCAAAACATAACAGTTTTTTCGTATGAAGGGTTCAGAATAGCACTAATAGCATTTCAAGACAAATTTCACATATTTCAACAGTCAATATACAAGATAAACAGGTGCTCAGATTACTTTTTATAAATAAATTGTACATAAATTATTGTTTCTACTAATTCATTTTTTTAATCTTTATAAATGGCAGTGAACAATAAGTTTTGTTTGAAAATTAAGCCAACCTAATTATTTGTAAGCTTTTCTAAATGTAAAAAAAAAAAGATAAGCGATTTTGATTATTTGTAAATTAACAACAAAAGTTTCAAAATAAATAATAATAATAAAAAACATTGCAAGAATACCTCTTTTTTTAAGACCTTCCAAATAAAACTAAGTTTTCAGACAGGACAGTTGTTAGTAATTTTTCAATTGATTTCACAGGTTTAATATCAATATGCACAAAGGATTATTGAAAATATTACATACCTCTTTTAAAAATAAAGTTGCCTAAACCATTTATTTCTAAAGATGTAGACATGTAATATATGCATTTACAGATAAGAAGATCTGCACATAAGATAGAAAAAACTTGCTTATTTAATGAGTCAAAAACAAACCGATACTTATGATGAGTAAGTTACTGAATACAATTATGTAACATTATGTAGTGCATGTGAAAAAACGGAAATTTAAGAGGCTACAGTATTAAAGATACACTAGAAGAGAAAGAAACAAAAATTAAAGTTTAAGTAAAACATTCATTCAAATGAAAAAGCACAAACATAGATATTATTTGAAATAGCTGTTTTTCACCCCTAAAGTAAATGCATCTACTATACAACTTTGTAAATACCAATATAATTTGACTTGAATTTTTGATATTATGAAATTTTGAATGCCTTTCTTTGACAGGGTTGCCACTCAAATCTGGAAAAAAATCCAGTGCTTTTTCCCTATGCATATTCTACACAATATATTAAGAGGAAAAACATAATCACATATGATCTGTATTGGGCTAACTGTACAAGTTATAATAGCTGTAAAAAACTTAAGAGAAAAAAGGAACAGCTGAGCATATGAATGAACTAGTTTAATAAAACTGAAATATTATCCTTAAATATCCCATAGATAGCACTTCGAGTAGTTAAAATTTTTTAAAAGACGAGAATAAGAAACAAAATCCCTGTATTTTTCTAGTTTCTAAACAAAAACTCAAATTTCCCTACATTATCCCTGTTATTTTAGATGATTTTTAAATTCCCTGTATTTTCCAGGTTTTCCCTAATTAATCTAACAACTCTGTTTAAGTTTAAGATATCAAGATTTGGCTTTTCTTTGACTTTATTAAAATAAAATTTTCAGTACAGGTGAAATATACATTTATAAAATGCATGAATTCTTCACAAAAGCATTTTTTAATTTCAATATCCTTCAACAAATTTCTTTTTCTTCATCTATGAAATGTATTCAGTAGCCTACATTGCAACCTCACTTATTTATTTGAAACAAATTTATGAATTTTTAATTACAATAACAAACTACCAGAGGACATTAACTAGTTTAGGAAGAAAACAACGATTTCCAGGCACAAACAACATACACGCAGGAACAGCAGTATTCTACCTTCTTCTTTCTTGCTTTTGTGTTCGTTTTCTTTCCTTCTCTCTTCTTTCATCTTGCTTTTGTTTCTGCTTTTCTCTGCCCACTTTATCCGTAGCTTTCTTTTTATCCGCTTCTGACTTCAAAGTTTCTCGCCTCTCTTTCTCCGCTTGAACGACGGCTTCAACATTCTGATTTTGAGCAGAAGCTACCATATCAAGTTAAGGTTTAGTAAAAGATAATTAAATCAGATCTGTCGAGTAAGAATCTAAAAACCATTGAAACTATAGCTGGAAACTAGCATTAAAGTTCTAAACAACTAAAAAGAAAAATGCAACCCCATTATTCATTATTCTGATTTTGAGCAGAAGCTAGAATTTTAAAGTTTAGTAAAATATATTAAAATTAGATCTGTTGAATATGCTCTACAGATCTGATAAAACTTTAATAACTGATACTTAAAACTAGTATAAATATTACAGTAATGCAATTGAAATGTTGAAATTGAAATGCAATTGAGCTGTTCAAATACAAATATTATTTTAAATTTGAATATTACATTGATTGATTAGACAAACAATATTAATGGTTTTAAGAGCATTATATTCTCTTTTGATTTTACAGAGTAAGATATTTGTTTTGATTTTTTAATTATGATTTTTTTTGTACAATTTCTACACGTGGATACTTTGTAAGTGAGATTTAGAAGAGAAACAGCTTACATTTTTAATTCTAACACTATTTAGTGGAAAAACAGAATTAGATCAGATTTTGGGAGTGTCTGGAATCCTGTGCGATTCATTGTTTATAATTTTTGAATGAACTTAGGGGTTGGGTATTTTGAAAACAGAGCTATATCTTCAGTGCATGCCTTTAAAATTTTCACAATACTTGGCTGTTCCCTCAATAATATGAATTGATCCAGCATAATTATACTTGAAGTTTTTTTATATCATTAATTCTTGAAATGTCACAATATAAAAACAGCAGTAAGATAGTGAGGCTGAACAACTAAGTTAATAAAGTCAGTTAATATTATTAATTTTTGTTGACATTATGTTATTTAGGCTTATTAAAAAAAAAACTCACTTTAAAAGCTTAAGTAAGTATCAACAGATGAAGTATGTGGATTAAGGTTTAAATAAACTTTTTTTAAATATTAAGTTGGTAACATTGACCCCTTACATCATAAAACAATCCACATTGATTTTACTCGTGCTAGCTTAATATAATAAACTAAAAATAGATAGCCAATAAAAATATGCTATTAACTCCCAATATTTTTGATTAAATAGTAAATTGAGTATATAAATTACAGCTAGTAAGTTAAAAAAAAATGGAATCAGGTGCAGTTGAATTGCTCCAATCACCTCTCTGCAAATCCACAAAGAAAATGTTTTTGCAATTACCAGAGAATTTGTGGTTGGAGAGAATATTTAGTTTGACAGTAAAGTTATTCAGAGTGACCGAATTTTTATTTTGCATACTGTACATTGTAAAAAAATTCAAAATAAAGAATGTTTTCCAGAAACCATGAAAAATTAATTACCTTAACAACACTTTTACAAAAATCAAAAATAATTGAAGAAGGAAAACTTATCAAGACACAAACTATTAGAGACAAAATAGCAATGATTATAAAAGGATACGGTGAAAAGACGATGAGGCTCCTCCTTCATCCGAGTCACAGTCCCTATAATATTCATCGAAGTATTAGATATCAATATGAAAAAATGGATTTGGGAGCATGCTGGCCAATTGTTTTGCATTATTTTGGAATTCAGTCAACTAAAATATTAATTAAAGCCTTCCCAGATTGTTTTTGACATAAATATATGCAAATGAAAAAAGATGTAATACAACTATTTAAAATTTTTTTAATGGCCATTACAATTAAAGTTTTTATGGCCATGAAAAAGTATTTTATAAATTTTGGGCCTAAAATAACTAAACGATAAATTTAAATACATATATCTATTACTATATTAAAGGAGTAGAATATCTCTATAAAGCAACCTTTGAACCATTGGAGGACAATATCAAGTGAGTAACTCTTGTCTTATTAAATGTTTCAAAATGCTTTTCCTAGAGATTTCAGCGACAACAGTTTCATACTTTAACTAAATATGCAAAGAATAGAAAGAAAAGTTTATCCATGGTTGCCTCTCAAATCTGGAGAAAAAAAAATTCACTGTACATTTTTAACAATATATTAAAAGTAAACACACAATCACTATGCTCTTGTTTGAGCTTTCATTATGAAAACTATACTAGTTTTAATTGCTGGAACAGCAACATATTTAAAACAAATATTGTTAGAGTAAGTGAGGTATATTATAGCTCAGGGCTCGAAAAACCGACCGTCCTCAGTGGTCAAAAATTCCCCGCGGACAACAAATTTCTCGAATCCAACGTCTGCGCGGACGGCCATTTTCCCGTTAATGTTCGTGATATATTTTCAATTTTTGTTATCCTACAAGAGTCTAGCTCCTCACTTCTTAAATGACTCTCTAATCTCGAAATACAGCAACATACTGCACATGGTGGAATTNTTGGCGTATACCACGCACCCGTAAATTCCAATGTTATTTTTTGTATTAAAAGTGCGCGTTATACGCCGGAATATACGGTAAGTGAGGTATAGTATAGCTCAGGGCTCGAAAAACCGACTGTCCTCGGCGGCCAAATATTCCCCGCGGACAAAAAATTTCTCGAATCCAATGCCTGCGCAGACGGCCATTTTCCCGTTAATGTTCGTGATATATTTTAAATTTTTTTTTTATCTTACAAGAGTCTAGCTCCTCACTTCTAAAATGACCCTCTAATCTCGAAATGCAGCAACATACTGCACATGGTGGAATTGATGTTTTCTCTGTCTGGGAGTACTGCAGCGGTTGAAAGGGGCTTTTCAGCAATGAACTTACAAAAAAAAAAAAACACATTACGTACTGTTCTTAAACAAGAAGCATCAACTGTAATTATGAACATCTACCTAAATGAAAAACCTCTTTTAGATTTCTGTGCAGAAACCTCTGTAAATCATTGGCTTGATTGTGGAACTGGCAAACGTCGCACTTGATTCATTTAAAAAATGCAGTACCATCGGATTAATTGACATGATAATTGACAGATAACTTGACCTTTGTTATTTAAACTATTACATTAAAGAAATAAATTATTTCATTAAAGAAATACTAGGTTTTACTATTAGTAACCTAGTATTTCTTTTACAGTACAGAACCCGTTATCCGGAAATCAGAAAACCGGAAAACTGGAACAAAATTCGATACATGTTCTCGCCATTTAAAAAAAAAAATTTTTTTTTCCTCATAAGATTTTACGATTTTTCTTTCTTTTTTTAAAGATGTTTACCTTACCATCATTTTGGGAATAATCATTAGTGTATTACATCATCGTTTTTTCTTATTAAGATTATTTCCAATTTTTTTTTCCTTTTAGTTGGGTTTAACAATAAAAAAAAACGGCTTTTTGTAGCAATTCAGAAAACCGGAAAAATCAGCAATCCGGAATAGCGATTGTCCCGGATAATCGGTTCCCTACTGTATTACCGTATAATGTTATCCTAGTATTTGTAACCCTAGTAACTATTAATTAATGGCGCAATTTATATAATTGTTAGTAATAAATAAGAGAAAATTATATTTTTCTTTATTCAGAAGCGACGGGTTAGTTTCAAAGGAGGACAGGTACATAGTTGGACAAGCCGACCTCGGGGACGGGTAAAATTTCTGAGTTTTTTCGAGCACTGGTATAGCTGAACTATCATCTTTAAATATGTAAAAGATCGCGCTTTGAGAGGCCAGCATTTTTTTAAAGACGAAATTAAGAAATGAAATTCCCTGCATTTTCTCAGTTTGTAAAGAAAAATTTATAATTCCCAGCATTTTTTTGACTATTTTCGATGATTTTTTTAATTTCCTGTATTTTCCAGGTATTCCATGTTCTCCCTGTAGAGTGGTGACCCTGGTATCTAAGTCTCTACTCCTTCCAATGAAAAAATTCTTGCATTTTGGATAAATGAGAAAAACTCTCCAACCCAAATAAACAAGCGGATGTTGCCTCTGGCCATAGACCTGAAAATATTATCACCTTCTGCCAAAGTGGTAGGCATGTACAATTGCGACTTGTACAATTACGGCATAAAATTATGAGTTAACAGACTTTTGATTGTACAAACCAGGGATCTATTTTTTTAACATTACTTTAAAACTTATTCTACATTAAAATTATATTAATTGCCTAAGTGAATCAAGATTAGTACACAAAACTAATACAGTTGAACCTGTTTATCTCGAAAACCTCTTTATCTCGAAATTTCTAAAATTCCCTACATTTACTGTCTAAAATCACTGTACTTTTTATGTTTATGTCGAATTTTTTTCTTCAAAACCTCTGTCTCTCGAATTTTTAATAATAGAGTACAAATGTCAAAACTTTCCTCAGCAGTAGAACTCATAGACTTTCATGAATCCACAGGAAGTAGAGATGAACAGGTTGGGGGTGTTTCTTGGAATTACAATCACTATCCCTGAACTTCCTTAACTAGAAAGGAATACAATGATTCTGGCAGTAAGTGAGGGGTTAATGAGTAGTAGCTTTTCAACATAGATAAGAAAGCCATAGAAAACAGTTGGTATGCAAACTTGTAGATGAAACAAGTTAGAAACTATCAGAATTGCTGTTTTGCCTGGAGAAATGTGTCTCTAAAAACTATCCAAAAGGGTTTTAAGAAGCTGGTTTTGAGAATAGCTGTGAAGAAGATGAATAAGAGGATGAAGGCATCAGTAAAGAAGAAAATGTTAAAGCTGAAAATGCAGTTCCAGATTTACCAAAATGGAATGCAATAAAATCTGGATTTAATGTTGACATTAATTTTGATGATTTTTACAAGTGGACAACTGCCTGGCAACATGAGGAACATTGGCAGATGCGGAAATCATAGATAATGTCAAAGGAATATCAGATGAAGAGGAAGAAGCTGAAGATCATATTGATGAATCAAAAGTGAATGCAAAAGTAGAAAAAGCTGTAGAATTTTTATAAACTACTCTTAAATCCCAGGAAAATGTCGACTATGAGGAATTTGCGATCTTTCTAACCTCAAAAGAATAATCGAAACAAATAACGTTATACGTCAGAAATCTTCGAAAATTTATTTTCAGTGTTTAATGTATGTTAAAAAACTGTTATGTAAATAGATGTATGTGGTACAATTAATTTAAAGAAATTCCTATATTTTTCTACTAAAAACAATTTAAGCACTTTTAATAGAATTTCTTAAAATTAATTTTTTAAAGTACCTGTATAACTCAAAGCCTCTTTATCTCGAATTTTTCGCCTTTCCCGTGAAATTCGAGATAAACAGGTTTGACTGTATTACAGTAGAACCTCCCGGGAACGACCACTCTCTGTTCCACATTAAAATGGTAGTTAATGGAGTTTGGTGTTTCTTAGAGGTTACCTCCATTGACTTCAAACTTCTTATCGAAGATACACAATTTTTTGACAACTTTATCACTTCAGTCAGTGTCATTTACTTGGTGCGGAAAAACCCTACTGTAGACGCCTTGAAAAGATATATCAATGAATAAAATTTACCCCCTATAAAAATGATCGCAACTGATATAATTAAGTGTAAAAACAAATTTACCAATTATGAATGATAAAGCTATTTTGAATAATTAAACAATTATGTTTTTTGTTAAAGCTTACACTTAATTTTATATCCTAAAAATTAGTTAGCTTTAAAAGATTGGAAGAGGTTTGTTTGTTTGAGATGCTTTTTTTTCTTCTAATTTACCTTTCAAATCTAGAAATAAATCATCAATAGCATCTTTAGTGCACTCTTAAAATTTCATTGCATTAGAACCAATGCAATTAGGACACTTAATATTATATTCATTTCAGTATTTTAAAATTATGTTACACAAGATAAATTCATTGCTATATATAACGTAAAAGAAACTTAAATATAATCCCAATAGGGTCTACTCCCAAAGGGGTTTAAGTTAGTTTTCAAAAACATTTCATGAATTCAGAGATAAATTTAGAGACCTAAATGCATAAAAATATTTTTCAAAAAAGTTTTTTAGAGATTAACTTACTAAGGGTTTAGAATAGCATTTGATAATATTAGACAAAGTTGATTTATTTTACTGTTCAATATACAAGTTAGACAGGTGGCTAGGGTACAAAGTTTTTGCTCCTTTTTATTATAAAGAATAAATTTAGTTCTAGATAATGTAGTTCTACTTAAGACAGGTGATCAACTTAACAGGTTACACTCTATAGAATCTATAACAAAAAAGCGTGAAAGAGGTCTCAAGAGAACTTACTCTTCATCTGATGATACAAATCTGCAGCGAGTCAAAATAGCTTCTCTCAATTGTTCCTCCTCACTAGAGCGGTTGACAGGTTTGAGGACAGGTTGAACTTGTTTTCCCATAATCAATGCAACTTTATGGCCAAGATCAAATTGCTCTGGGAAAAAAAAAATCAAAAACATGTGAGAGAATAAACAGGCATATAATCATTTAAAAAATAAAGTAAAAGCAGAACTATCTGGAATTTGCATAACCAGAAAGCTCATTTCAGGATGTTCATAAAAAAAACTTCTCGCAAAAAAAAAAAAAAAAACTTTAAAAAAGTTTATATTCTTTTCAAAGGTTGCAAGTAGAACACTGTTGCACTGTTTTTTAACAGGGCTAAATTTTTAGACTTTTTCAAGGTTTTAAGTTTTGAAAAGTTCCAACTTAAAAAAATTACTAAAAGCCTCAAACTTTAAAATTCGGTTACTGATTACGTTGCAATAAATAAGATGAGATAAAAATTATTTAAAAAATACAAATTAGTTACTAATAAAAAAGGAAATTCCGAATTTATAACTCTCTAGTTAACATGGGTAAGTAGAAATGGATGCTCAAATGGACAGTTACATTCCTTGCTTATTGTCATTCATTGTTTCATTCAAGCTTTTATTGGCATTAAATTCAAAAAAAGAGGTTATGTTCAACCATGTATTTTGTAGATTAACATGCTGTCCAGCAGGTTGGTAACAATTTTGAAATTTTTCAAGCCCTGTTATACCTTATTCCAAGCATAAAAACACGTAATTTCAAAATAATAATAACAATAAAAAAAAAATTGGAAATTTAAGATTTTTCTGTTATACTCCCTTATAAGAATGAATAACGTAAAACATAACTTATGAAATTTTCACTGTTTTTTTAAAAAAAATTATCATTAATTTCATTTGTGAAGTTTTTACTGAAATGTACTGGTAATATTTAATATAATATATTATATTAAATTACACCTACTGTAATATAATACCTGTACTGGTATTATATTAAATATTACCAGTACAATTCATTAAGAAATTAATTTACAAAAGAATTCATTTTTTGATAAATTCTACATTTTATTCACTTTTGTATGACAATAACGTTTTTGCTACATATTTCCACATAGTTTTCAATGCAAATAATTTAATAAGACTGTATAGCCTACCGCGAAATTTGAATAATGCATTTGAGTAAACACTTTTTATTTTGACACATACAATTAGTATCCACTATAAATCTATGTGGTTTGTCAAGCGCTATTTTGACAGCTATTGCTACCTAGATTTCCACATGGTTTTTAAAACCTTAATATTTAAATATGGTATTGAAACGCACCACAAATTCCGAATCATGCATTTGAGTAACTATCACCAGACCCACTCAACAATCAATGATTCCACAAAGAATCTGCGTTGTTAAACAATTTTTTGGTAGATATTAAGAGAAATTTTCAAATGCTTTTTAAAATCTCAATAATTTGATAGGATATTATTTTGCTTGGCATACTTCCATTTGTGTATTTGAAGAATCACAATTGATTATTAAAGATTTAGTCGTAAACCCACATAGATTTATTAATTGCATTTTCGTCACTTATTGCCATAGATTTTTCAGGTATTTAAATAATTTTTTTTTGCTTTGTTTCCTCCCGGTTTTTAAGGCTACATTGCTTCCCGTGAATCATGCATATGAAGGATCATTTTATTATGCAGTCAATTATTAATGATTCCCCTGTAAACACACGTGGTTTCAATGATTGCATTTCCATTAATTATCATCGCTACGGATTTATACATGGTTTTCAATATCTTGATTTTTTAACGCTATATTGTTTTAAACACGAAACCTTGAATCACCCATTCAAGGTTTCGTGTTTAAACGAAACCTTGAATGGGTGATTAAAGGTTTCGTTTAAACACGAAAGAATCAATGGCATTTTCAACTGTTATTGCTTCGGACTTTCAGGTAGTTTCATTTCAAAACAGAAGTAAATGTAATGCTGTAACAAAATGCCGCAGTAATCACAAAATGCCGAATTTTATTCCAGATATCCAAAATTTTTGTTAACACAAATAGCGAAAGTGGGAAAAAAATAATTTAAAAATAGGAAATTGACGAGGTGATTTGTGGCACAGAGTGAAAAACCCTGAAAATTTTAAGTGCAAAAAATCGAAATCAATTTATATACCATACATGTTTCATACTCAACATAACTTTTTGAACTAACAACTGTAATTAAATTACCTACTAATGCAGAATATCATACTTTTAGAATAAGTATTTCTAGAAAAAACTTATTTCTTACAAGTATAGCGATATTAGGTTTTAAATTGCAGGAATAAGAATCATGATATTAAATTTTAAAATTGTGTGAATATGAATCGCAATATTGGATTTCAAAATTTTGTTAATGTTAATTGTGACAGTAAATTTTCAAATCGCGTAAATATGAATCACTGTGCATAATTATTAAATCACGTGAATACAATCGGAATATTGAATTTTAAAAACGTGTAAATTTAAATCATGAGATTGGACTTTTCAATCACACAAATATGAATTGCAATGCATAACTTTTAAATCAGGTAAATATGAAAATCGATGTTCTATATTAAAATAGCATGAATAAGAATCCAAATATTAGCAATTCCAGCGTGGTTCCAAATGTTTAAAAAGGCAAAAATCCACTAAAACCAAATTGGCGAAAGAATCACGCAAGACTTAATTAGCAAAAGATTGTACGTAAACGTCTCATTAACAGATTTAGAAAAAGCTTCAAAGTTTTGTTGGATTGTAAGTTTTTGATTCGCAGAAGTCTGCAGCCAGTGGTCTTGATTTATGCGGAATTCTGCTATGTTTGTGCACAAATTGCATGCCCCCTCCTAGTTTTTAAACCCAGAAAAATGATGAAAAAAAAATGGAATTCCGGGTTACCCCAGGAATACAATCACCCATGAATTGAGTCAAATTTCTAAAAAGAAAAAAGAAGAAATTAGCGGCAAAAAGGAGGATTTTCATCCCTGTAACTATCATAGGCGCAGCATAAGAGGGACACAAAACTATTAATTTATTTTTAAGTTTGATATATACATTTATATATAAATATACTCATAATGAAATAAATATGCACTTATTTATAAAACTTAAAATAAACGAACAGTTTTATAAAAATAAAAAGTAAGCCTGATGCTACACTTTTAAACAGTAGAACTTATAATCACAATTAAAATTAATTAAGCTTTACTAGCGTCAACAATAGCTTTTATGTGCGGATCAAAAATTTATTAATATTTATTTCAAATTTCACAGTTCTCCCACTTAGAAAAACGAATAACAAAAGAACAGCTTTTATTTACCTGTTTCATCACTCTTTGAATTAGAGATTTCATGATATTCATTCCATTTATTAATTATCTCAGAACACAATTCTTCTACACCTACTCCATTCTAAAAATATCAAGCGTTATTACTTTCACCATATTACAAAAAAAATGTATATAATAATAATAATAACAATGCATATTGAAAGTGTGATGAGGAAAGTATTGAAAAAATATTTTAAAAAAATTATATTTACTAAGATCCTAGTACTATTTGACTGCTTTTTAATTTCAATTAGAAAAACAATGGTGTTTATGATGACACAATTTCTTAGAATTTTGTGACTTTTTGTACTACATATATTTTTTTATTGTTAATATTTACTAATAACTTGTTATATAACTGTAAATAATATAAAAATATTAAAAATTAATTTTAAACAAATTTCTTTGCACATTGGCAATTATTTCACGATCCAGTCATTTTGACTGAGGTATATACTAAGTTTCAGTCTTCTTAGTGTTAAGTAATTTTAATGCAAAAAGTGGTCACCTATAAATTTACATCTAATGGCCACTAAAGGTAAATTTTTATTTTCCATTGCCCTTTAACTTACAATATGACAAGTTTTATCAATCAAGTCACATCACTCACAATTGAGGTTAAGAATGAATATTAATTTATAGTTATTAAAACCTATTTGATAGTTGCACAATGCTATATGTCACATGACTTTTATTATATTAACTATTTTATTTTAGCAACATTTTCTTTTTAAATGCCCTTTTGTATCAGTAATTACACTTAAAACTATCTATTAAAAAATTAATCTTACATTTGCAAATAATATTCAAGTTAATTTTTAAATTACTTCAAAATAATATTTAATTTTTTATTCATTAAACACAACATTAAACACAAAATATAAATCACTTAATAATGTCCAATTTTACTTAATAATTCAATTTAAAATGAAACAAAGTAATTAATTTAATAAAAATTTTATGATTTGCTTTTCAACTTCTGAATTATTTAAAAATTGAGGGGATATTTCCATATCATGATCGGTCTCACCAACTACAATCGGCAAGGTGCAAAATATATTTCAATATATATATTGTTTGCTTGGGGGTGGCTATGAGTAATACCTTTTGACTTGGTCCCTTTCTGTGATGTGTTCTTTTTAAGTTTGCAGTGGGCCACCGCCTGGAAGTTGCAAAGACTCAGCGATTATTCAGCCACAGATCATGACACGGAAATCTCCCCAAAATTGAATCAGATCCAAATGTTAAATTAATTAAAATAAAAATAAATAGAAGTTATTTTCTTGAAAGGAAAAACAGTTCAGTGAAATTATTCAGTGAACACTTCAGCAGACCTGGACAAAATAAACAAAAATCATTATCTTTTACTAATAAACAGGTCTTTAATGGTAAAATAATAAATTTAGGAGTCTAAGAAATTTTTCTAAAGTAAGATACCTAATATATATAAGAGAAGATATCTAATAGATAGGCTAATTGTAAAGCAATAACAAATCATTCAGAAATGTTGGGGAAAAAAAGATGTTTAATTTATTCATGATTGATAGGTTAAGTTTTTCTTTTAGTCTACCACTTCAGATTTTTAAAAAATGTTACAAAAATGTTCAACTTATATTGTAAATGCTTTCAAGTCTATGTTATTACAAAGACTTATTGACACAAAAAACATAAACACTTTTTCTGCCAAATAAAATGAAACATCAATGATGAACCTTGCATTGTTTTACACAAAGCTATTCAATTCTCCATTTTTTAATTCGTGATTGAAAATTAAAATTTTAGTCATTTATAACAGTGGGATATTTCCATATCATGATCTGTCACGCCAACTATAATGGCCAAGGTGCCAAATAGATTTTAAACTTGCAACTTTTTTTAAAAATATCAACAACAAAAAAAAACATGTACATGTTTGCCTGGGGGTGGCTATGAGTTATAGCTTTCTGAATCGGTCTCTTTCTGTGACGTCTATTTTTAGTTTCTCGCGGGCCGCTGCCCAGAAGTTGCCAAGACTTGGCGATAGGGAACCACACACAAAAACAATTAATTGCTTTAAAAATAATAAATGTTAGAACAATACATTACATACTTATAAGTTATGATCAGTATTATCAATATTATAAATATTGCAATCTAAGAAATAATTTTGAGCTAAATAAGTAAAAAACTTCAAAATACTTATAAAAGGAACAGATAAACAATTTAAAACAAATATATATGATTCTGTCTGTCATTTGTAAACCGACATTTCTTTTACGTTTATAATTACCAGCTGAACTTACAATAATATGTGTGTATAACATAAAATGCAATTTTACCAGTAAATCAAGTAATATGTCTCTCAAGGAATCTATTTTATCAGCATCGGCTTCATCAGTTGTGATAATACTACTAATATAGGATCCCATTACTTCATCTTCGATGTCATAGCTCCCAAGTTTCTCAGTCAACCAACTATTAAATGAATCTAAAACAGACATGCTGTTCTCTTTTTTTTTAAATATCAGCAATCAATATATGCGTAAAATGCTAATTTTCGAATTATTAATATGTTAATCATTAATTAGTCATTCTATTTCATTATATAATTACAAGTACACTACCATGCAATCTTCTCGATTTCATTTGAAATCGGTCAACATCAACAAAAATAAATCGAAACAATCCCGAGTAATGCCAACTCAATTTAGAATTATTTATTAAATATTACAGATGTTCTATACAAAATATCGAATTTTAATAGGCGCAATCAAAACAAAAAAATATTTTAAAAATTTTAAAAATATTAAACTTGTATTTTAAACTGAAAATATGAATATTTAATTTTGGGTGCTGACTTCTTCGTTTATAAATAACAATTTATGCGGGTTTCTCTGCGGCTCATAACACTCGAAAAAATAAGCATTTCCTTTGCAAACTAGCGCAAGGCCAGGGATTTGACTTCGGCCAAAGTTATTTCAATTAAGTATTCGATCTATTTGATTCAATTTTTATAAATAGAGCAAAATGAGTATTCTCTCTATCAAAGAATTAAAAAGACTTATTCATCCACATCATATTCTTAATGTTGTATTGGCTGTTACGTATGTGTTCACCAAACTTGTACAACCATTCTGCTCTATATTATACCCAAAATCTGGGTGCGAACTTGAGTTCGTAAGTTATTTTTAGATGATAAACTTATTTTCAGATAGTGATTCTTAACTATTATTTTTTTTCAGTTTGAAAAAGCAACAATGCGCTTCATCGTATTTCATTTGAGTCTTAGCAAAATTTAATATTTTTTTAATGTGATATTATTTTTCAAGCTGACAAGTTAATCAGCCGACCCAACTCAGAGTTTACAACTATTTAATGGTCAACTCCGTTGCCGTCTAATTTTAAGCCCAATCAAGAAAACTAGGGAACTTCTGGAATACCCTAGGCCATTCCAATTTTTGGGGCCCTTAGATTAAATTTTGTTCTCCTATATTTTTTTATTTATTCAACTATTAAAGTATTTATATATCTTTTAATTTTAAAAGCATATTTAAAATAAAAATAAATAATAATAAATTAAATTTTACTTTATATTATTAAATTAGAACTAAAAAGTAATAACATATTGAAAAATCATTGTTTTTCTTAAAAATTTATTTTCAAAAAATCCATTTTAAGGGGGCCCCTAATGATTGGGGGTCCAAATGGGCCCCATGGCCTAGTGGGTAATCCAGACCTGGTACACTTATTACTAACATTCACCTGTTTAAGGGGACACTTCACGATGAAAAACCCAAAAATCGACCAAATTATACTTTTTTCAATTTTTGTTTCAAAAAATAATAGTTATATCTAGCTACAATTTAAAAGAAAAATTTTTCAATTTCAGTCATTTTTTGCAAAGTTATAAGCATTTCAAGATTTGTAAACAAGGTTATGTAAACTGTCTGTTTTTATAGTTAAACTGTTTTTTCTCAATGTTGTTTTTTACGATAATATTCAAACTTCGAAAAGTTCCTTGCGCATGAGTTTTGAATAAATCTTTATTTTTTTCTCATATATATGATTGGTCTAATGTTCCGTAACCAATGTGATATAAATAAAAGCTGAATACTCACTGAATATTTTTTAAATTACTTTAAATTGTTATTTAAATTTCAATTTTTAAAAATTATATAAAGACTATGATATTTTGATTTTTTATTTGTTTAAAATTAAGTGCTAAGTTGTTCAAACATATCCAATTTTATTTATACTTATTCAAACTGTAATATAAATGAGTTTCATACAGCTACGATAAAAACTCATGCGCAGGAAACATTTTGAAATATTGGAACATTTAGTAATTTAACTTGCGGATAAATTATTAAAAAAATTATAACTTTTCAACAAATTAATATTTTTGCTTCAAATTTTGGGAATATCTTTCTAAATGCTTTATTCACAATCTATGAAATTTTCATTAAAATTGGTTGATATTTAAAAAAAATCATTTTGAACCTGAAGTGTCCCCTTAAGATATCATTGTTTTTGATTAATGCACTTTTTATTTGAGGAAAGTGAAATTAAATCAGCAATAAACATAATTTTAGCATTTAATAAAAACCCAGGTATATATGAATTTTGGGTATTTACCAGGGTAATTACCTAGGATTTTTGCATCAAGTTATAAAAATCCAGGTATTTTACATCTATAATCAAGACACAGTTCTAGATTTCAGAAATGGTGTAAATTTGATTTAACTCTTTTCAAACTAGTGACATCAGAAGATTAGATGAGTTTCGTAACGCAGAGTTTTTGTAAGGCTTTCCAAATTCCTTCAGCTGCTGAAGTATAAACAGGTTTGATTGCAGACTTTTCAAATGATCCAGTCCATAGTTTCCAAATGACATTATTATTCTATATCTAATAATAAACATTTCATCAATATTTTTAAATAATTCTATCGCAATAGCGAACTACATCAGAGAAAGTTTATATCTTTAAAAATAATGAAATTTGATTGACTTTTTTTGGAAATTTAGGGAACATTCTTGCTTGATCTAGTTTGACCATTCTACTTCAAATGCAGTCAGTTTCTAAATGTATATTTCATTTTAATTTTAATGAAGAAGTTAAAAATAAAACGTAAAGTCGACTTGCATTAGAAACTCTTATGTATTAAAAGATGTTTCAAAGCATTTTGATTCAACAAAATACCATTTTTTATAACAAAATCTGTAGGATGAAATTTCTTAAAATTAAATTATGCTAAACTTTTTTGGTTATTTTTGAAAGAAGACTTATGAGCGCTCTAAGAACTTCAAGTTATAGAATTCTTCCAGTATTCTAACTTGCACTTATTTTAGGCCTAGTCTTCTTGAGATGTAATAAATTCTAGGTATTTAAATTTTTTAGGATTGGGTTTTTGACGTCAAAAACTAGTTTTTAACAAGACTCGTCAAGAACCTGTCAAAAAGTGTCTTAAACTGTTGAAATTCAAAAGCCTGAGAGACGTTTTTTTTTTGACATTAGATGCATTTTATTAGATATTAATCATGCAGATTACTTGCATTATATACTACTATAATTATTACTGACATTATATATCATGTATAAAAAATGTAGCCAAAATTATTGAAGCTATCTATTAAATACTTTTTTGTTTTTCTAATGGTAATCTTAATGTTTTAGGACCCATATTATACCTAACTATTTGGATAATGATACTGTTATGGCTATGAGTTGTTAAATATTATCCTTGGCCATCAATATTGTAATTGGAGTTACCAAGTTATTATCAATTTAAATATTTATTTTAACGTTACAATTTAGGCAGATTTTTTAAATTAGATAAAATTAAAGTGTTAGTCAATAATTATCTGATCTCAAGGTATAATTTTTTTTATTGATTCTCAATATCTGTTGTTATTAATTATATTCAGGGAAGCAGAATATGTCTGATAGCAGAAGCAAAACTTGGGAAGAAATTCAGGCAGTCTTGGGGAAATTTTTGGTTGGATTCCTTTAGTTTATAAGTGGGATCTTAAATTTAATTACTAATTCAATGTATATATAGATTTCTGTTATTTTGTAACACATGCATTATTCAAGAATTGTGTAAAATCAGATGTATTTTATTTTCCAAAAATATTTTGAAAAAAGTTATAAGTAGTTAAAATTTGAGTATAAATGAAAACTGATTTTACATATAATGAATAAGGTGAATGTTGAGTGTTTTTTTATTAAGCTAATTGTTTTTGTATTTTTATTTTCAATAATTTAACAGATTGGATAAATTTCAATTTTACGCATTTTTATTTATAATTATTTAATATTTTCTACATCAAAATTTGGGTTTTTGACAGTAATTGTCAAAACAAGAAGAGAGATTTATATCAAAATAGTTCAAGAACATGATTGATTTTCTGTAATTTTATCTGTATGTTTATTTATAAATACTTAAATATTACAGCTAATAATTATCCTTACATCAAAATTTTGGGTTTTTTGCACTTGTCAGAAACTTTGTCAAGAAGGGGATTCTAACATGACGATAAAACCAGGGTTAAAATCAGATAAAACTGTCAATTGTCGAAAACTTTCCAACCCAAAATTTTTGTCTAGTTGATAACTTTTTATCCAAAATCTACTTTTATATGAATGTACTTTTTATGGCTTTAAATTTTTGTTTATATTTTAGAAAGAAACAGAAATACTTATATTCCTTGCTGTCATTGTATTTTTAAGAACTAAAAAGAGAGGTAAATATATTTCAGTATTGATTTTAATGAACATATTTCTCTTAAAAAATATTATGTAATGCATTATATTGATTATACTTTTTTCTTAAGACTGGAAACATATTCTGAGGTGATTGTATTCCGGGTTTTTATTCCGGTATCATTCTTCTGGGTTTAAAAACTAGGAGCGGGGCATGCAATTTTTGTGCAAATATCACAGAATTCCGCATAAATCAAGACCATTGGTTGCAGACTTTTCAAGCTTTTTCTAAATCCCGTTAACGAGACGTCTACATACTTTCTTTTGCTAATTGTATGAGGAATTACATCTTACGTGATTGTTTCGGCAATTTTATTCTTTTGATCTGGCAAATTTTAACCTTTTTAGATATTTGGAAACACACTGGAGTCTGCTAATATTTGGATTCTTATTCACGCGATTTTAATATCCAACATCGATTCCCGTATTTACCTGATTTAAAAGCTATATGCATTGCGATGCATATTCACTTGATTTAAAAGTGCAATATCGCAATTTACATTTATGTGTTTTTAAAATCCGGTATTGCGATACGTATTCATGCGATTTAAAAATAAAAATTCAATATCGCGATTCATATTCACGAAATTTTAAAACCCAATATCGCTTTCTTGAATTAGTTACTCTAAAGGTGTGATATTCTGCATTAGTAGGTCATTTAATTATAAATGTTTGTTCAAAAAGTTATGTTAAATATGAAACATGTAGGGTATATAAATTGATTTCGATTTTTTGCACATAAAATTTTCAGGGTTTTTCTCTCTGTCCCACAATCACCCCTGCATATTGATTATTCTAACTGAAAACGTTTTGCTTTCTTCTCTAGCCATCATAAGTTTATTAATCTTGTTGAACAAACATTGTACACCCAGTGAAATGTCGACTTTCTTTGAAATGCAGAGAAATTTACAAATTCTGGATCGAGTGACCAAATTCTCAATTTTTAATATTTTATTTTCCCGTAAATAATGCTGCTTTTTAATTCATACAAAATATCCTTAAATATGGTGGGATTTTTTTGGGGCTTTCTGACACAAATCTCCCTAGCATTAATATCTTTATGCAAGATATTTTGAATAGTAGCAAATATATATGTTACTAATTTAAAGTAACGGAAGTGCTTTGTATCCATAAAATAAAGCCTCCATATTAATTTAGTACAATACTTTTTAATTATATATGTAAGAATTTTTTTTAACCCCTTCCCTTACTATTATTTCAAGAGAAAAAAATAATACAAAAATTCAACGTATTTTTTTATTTTATTAATAAACACATGGAACTAAAAAAAAACATAATGCGCAGGTGTTAAGTTGAAATTTTAATTTTTTTTCATAAGTAAGAAACATTTAATTTACCATCAGTTTACAATCCCGAGTTATATCAGGCAAATGAAAAACTACATATTAGTCTTTGTATGATAGTTCTTAAAACAAGGGACAACAGAAAGTGATACTTTTTAAACATCAGTGAAGGAATTTACCATTTTTTTTTTTACTCTCATAGCTATGTAAATTCAACAACTATTGTATATACAATCACACAAATCACATGTTCAGTCCCAATATTCAACAGCAAAACTACGAAATATAACTTGGCAATCTTCCATTCACAGCAGATTATATTTTTTACTTCCGACTGAGTAAAAACTTGATAAAATAAAATGTACTGGCAAATTCTGCTACAACCGAGTTTTCTCGTGATGATAAATATTTGCAATTTATACGTACCCAAGTCATCTCAGGATAATCAGGGATTATGAGGGATTATCTCTGATTTTGATGGGAGAGAAAACACACGTATTGTTTCCTTTTTCAAATTTTGTAAATCATTACATCAAAGAAATTGAAATTCGTGTATATTGTATATAGGGTATATTGGAAAATTGAATTCATTGGATAATTGGGAGGACTTTTAAGTATATAAATCTTAAACTATGAGCAAAACTATTTGAAAAAAAGTAGTAAAAATAATTAAGCTTTTCAGCGCAACAATTGAATTTTATTTTTGGATCATAAGCAACAATGCAATGGTTTAATAAAAAAATTAGCATTGCATTTTTGTTTAGTTGTCGTTTTTGAAAAGTCAGATATGGGCATTTTTGATACTAATATAATAATCGCGCCAGAAAAAATTGGTGTCGGATAACTGAAGTGTCGTTTAATTAAGCATTGGATAATTGATTGGTGATATTTTAGTTTTATTATGAAATAATTCCTTTTTTTAAACGTTCTGTCCATTTTATTTTAGGTGCTGTTCAAATGATTCCGTATTTGTCTTCTTTTTGCATGTATGCTAAATTGGCAAATATAGCTCTCTTTTTTTACACTGACCCCCGCTTTGGAGTTATTTATTCAGTTCTATGTCTAGGTAAGTATTTATTTATTTGCATTTTCTAATGTACCATAGAATATACATTATTTTTTAGCAATGTTGTACAGAATAATATTCAATACTTTTACCGCTAAATATTTTATAATGTTTCATTGTAGTTGCTTTTTTTATAACAATATATTTATTTGAATATTTAGATTTTTAGAAGTCACATTTAATTTGAAAAAAAAATCCTATTGCCAGACTTAGGTAAAATGAAAAACTTTCTGCATGCAGTGATTAACTCTTGTAACTAGTTTGAACTCTTTCATCTTCTCCTCATTTTGGCAAAATTCGTTTTGAAAATCATGGATTTAAAAAAAAAAAAATTTTTATAGAACTTTTTATTAGTTTATACCACAGGGTTGAGCATAAGGCCAGCGAAGCTGAAAATGGAAATTCAAAAATGCTATGCGCAAAAACACTTTTTAAATAATTGAAAAAATATCTGAAATTTGAGCAAGAAAAAAGTATGTTGGAAGCACTTATCCACAGAATGTTATCAACGTTTTAATAAAAAAAAATCTGTACGAGATTTTATTTATTTGTTTAAATTCTGAGAATATTAATCTTAATGTGTGTTTTTTAAATCACGCTAATACAAATCTTGACACTTAATTTTAAAATCATGTAAACATGAATCTTGATGTTTGAATTTTAAAATCATGTGAATGCAAATCTCAATATTTGATTTTAAAACTGCCGGAATCGCCTGAGCACGAATTCCGATGTTTAATTTTTAAGTCATTTGTACACGAATCATAATGGCAGATTTTAAATCCTTTGAAAATATGAAACACAATGAGCAATCTTAAATCATGTAAACAGGAATTGTGATGTGTGATTTTAAATCCTGTGATTATAATTTTAAATCGAGTGTGCATTGGTAGGAAATGGCATGAAAATTAATCTCTTTTTTCCCCTTGTGAATTTAAAAAAGACAAACTATCTTTGAAGAGGTGGATTTATAATTTTTTTCTTAATAATAGTAAAAAAAAAAAACAGTTTTGATGGTGACAAATTTCCCGTAAACAATATTCGCACTCTCATATATATTATACAGGTCTATTTATTACACCGAAGAAATAATATTGAAGCAAGGTATAATATGCATAGGCATTTCTTTAGCTAAATTTTTCTTGTCTAACAAAAATAAATCATAAATTTTACGAATCTAAAATCGATTTTTCTTATAATATGCCAGTAAACAATTGTTTTATAACCATTCAATAACCAATCAGGAACATTGAGGTGGGAAGTTAAACAACACTTATTATTTATGTGAAATATAATTCTGAAATAAAGTAGGGGGAAAAAACATCCAATTTTTGCCAAAGTATATTAAAAACTTAAACTATCCATTTTTTAATCTCTTTTCATCTTTCTCTCGAATCCTGTGGTCTTTCAAACTTGTGGCTTACAAGTCACTGTTCTTCTACATCAAATCTCGGTCTTTTGAACTGGTGATCCTGCAAAAATAATCACTTTAACAGAAATTTTTAAATGATACACTTTGCAAAAATGTATAACATATAAATTCTAATAAAATGAAACTTTTAAACCATGGATTTATAAAGATTGAATCCAGATGCTGTCAATTTGGTCTAGTCAATGTGGCTTGTTAAGGGATGCCATTTAAATAGTTTTAATTAATAAGTTTTTTTTTCAGTTAAACTGAAGTTTTTATGGTTAGTTTTGCTATTAAAGTCTTTCATGTTTATTTTAATAGCGTAATTTTTATGTAGTAGAGTAATCTATTTTCAATCAGAACTTAGATTCGTATATTCCGTTATTCCAAGATAATTTGAACAATTTTAAATGCTTCATTTTCTGACCAGTTGATCCAGTAGTGATGCAATTTATCAATTGACTTGTATGAAGGTTTAAAAAAAAAATCAAAAGGTAAAAAATTAAATTCTTCTGATAATTTTCTGGTACATTATTTTAATTTTTTTTATTTCATGTTTTTCTTTCTTTTTGTGCAATCTCATGCATAATTCTGTTTTAAAAAAATCTATTTTCAATCACAACTTAGATTTGTATATTCCGTTATTCCAAGATAATTTTAACAATTTTAAATGCCTTATTTTCTGACAAGTTGATCCAGTAGTGACGCAATTTATCAATTGAATTCTCAGAAGATAAAAAACAGATTTGTAAGCGATGTACAGTATTTTATTAATCAACCATATTTGCCTGTCTTGTGTCATGCCTACAAGTGCAGTCTATTACCTACTGTAACTTCATTGTGAAAATCCACCCTAATTATCATTATTACTGACAAGCTACATTTTTTGGGATCTGCGGAAATATGTTCTTCTCCCTTATTTTGATCAAGAAATTTTATCAATAATTCTAAAGTTGCAAAAATTCTTAAATTGAACAAGTTCTAAAGTTGAACAGAAGGCCATCCACTAATTGTGCGAAAGTTATTTAAATAATTTGTTGCTTCAGAATTTTTAGGATTCTTATATAATATTAATTGATTAAAAACTTTCTTATGATAAAGTTTTGTTAAAGGGAATAGAGGATCAATTTTATGAGCTGAAATGAAATTTTGTATGATGGAGATTAATTGTTTCAAAAATTTGAATTAATCTCTTTGTATAGTTTATGTGTGAATAGTCGAATGGGCTTAGTCATAAATATAGAGAAAACAATATACATGTTATTCTCAGGAAACAGAGTCCCCTATCTTAAAAATTCATTCTTATAAATTTGTAACAGCAAGGAGTTTTACTTACTTAGGATCAATAATTACTATTGATAACAGAATGTCTCCTGAAATTGGAAAGACTCTATCTGGCAAATAGGGCTGTCTGTGGACTAAGAAGATTTGTTAAATCTAGGATGTTTTTTTTTAGACAAAGTTCTTAATTTACAAAACTTTTGCCCGGCCTGTCTTGACATATGCTTCTAAAGCTTGGACAATGACAAAACTGGAGGAAAATATGTATCACAATATTTGAGAGAAAGATTTTGCGGTTTTTCTTGCAACTAGTGAAAAGAATTGGAGATAAGAAATAAATCGGAATTTGTTATTGAGAAATCTTCAGAGGAAGGCATTGGCCTACATTGGGCTGTCTGGCCAACTATGATGATGGTATAGTTTATTTAAAAGGATTTTAGTCCAGTTAACAATTTACTGATTATAAATTAGTCTCATTTTATTTCAAAATATTTAGTTCTGATTATTTAATAAGAAATCATCCATGCAAGTAGTTCACCTCCTAGTAAGGTTTGATTCTACTTGAGAGTTTAATAAGAAATGACATTTTAAAATTATTTATGGAAGATACATAAAAATTGAAACTGAAGTAACTGAATATTTTTATTAAAATATTTTTTTAAATTTAATTTTACATAATGTAGGTAGGTATTTTATTTACTTTCAATAGAGTTGCACAATGGGTTATTGACGGTCTGGAAAACACCCCCGAGGATAATCCGAAGACATGCCATCGCAATTTTAGTCCTCTGCGAAAGGGATGACTCCAACACTTTTGTAGCCTGAGGAATTGCGCGCAACGTCAAGCACTTTACGGTTGAACAGTTTTACAATGACCGATACCATATTTTATTTAATATTACTAGTTTTACTGTAATATAATTTGTAATTAATGTTTTATTTAGTTTTAGTAATCACAAAGTTTTTTTTTCCTTCTGAAACTGCTGTCTGTCTAAAGCTATTCTTTTGTTTCTAGTTCATCTTTTGCTTTTGCCAGAGCCTACATATGAAGGACCAGAAAATGTAGTCTATTTTACTGGACCCAATTTAGAGGTATATTTTTATTGCAGCTTTCTCATTAGTTTTAAAGAGGAAAGAATAGTTCTATACCTACTATGCAGCATTCAAATTTTACATTATTTTTCTGATTTAAATTAAATGTTACAAAACACGGAAATGAGATATATATTTTGACAGAAGCATTCAATGAGTTAATTCAAAACATAGAAAGTAGTTTTATTTTTGTTAAACATTGCATGTATCACTTTTAAAACGTGTGGATGCTATTTTTTTCTCCTTGCAACGATAATTAAATCAATGTATATAGGCCATGGGTTTTTTTCAAGGTTGCCACTCCACAAGGAAAACCTGGGAAATACAGGGGAATTAAAAATCACCTAAAATATCTAGGGAAATGCAGGGAATTTTGAGTTTTTCTATAGAAATTGGGAAAATACAGGGAATTTTTTTTCTTCTTTTCGTCTTTTAAAAAATGATAACTACTCAAAGTGCAGTCTGTGTGACATTTAAGGATGATATTTCAGCTATATTAAACTATTTCATTTACTATAGCATTATTTGTTTTAAGTATGTTCATCAGCTGTTCCACGTTCCTTTTTTCTCAAGTTTTTCCCGCCCAAGCACAGTGATTGTGTGTTTCCTCTTAATATGTTATATTTAATATGTACAGGAAAAATAAAAATAAATTTTTTACAGATTATAGTGGCTACTAGGACTGGGCAATGTAAGAAATTTTATAACGTGATGCATCGTCTGTTAGACATTGCAATATAGCGATGTATGGTGATTTAGCTTATGTTCAAAAATTATCTTTCAGAAGTCTTTAAATTTATCAAAAATAAATAAAAGGAATAAATATATTACAAAAAAGAATGTATTAAGTAAAAACAAACCCAAGCTTTTTTTTTAAAAAAAAAAAAATAAGCTTGGCTAATTTTAATTAAAGCTAATTTTTTTTAAAATTAAAAATGACTTAAGATTTATTCGTTTAAAAATAATAATAAAACTAACAAAATATTTTACATACATGCATTAAAAATCAAAAGGAAAAAAACAAACAAAAGAAATGTTTACTTTAGTAAAAAAAATTTTTAATTATTTGTTGAAAAAAATCGTCCTTTTGAAGCATTGTTAGACATTGTTTAATGTATTTACTTTAATTAATAAAGTTGCATTAACTAATGCTCTAATTCTATACTTGATGAATGTAAAGATAAAATTTTTTATTTATTTATTATTATGATAATTTTTTTTTTTTTTTTTTGAAAATAAAATAGACTAAGGATTTATTTGTTTCAAAAGGATACTGACTGTCTAACAAATTATGATACAAACAAGTATTGAAAGAATTTTAAGAAAAATTTAAAAAAGGAAAATTTAAGTACTATTGTTAAATTATTAAAAAGCATCAAAATATTGCTTAACTTTTTATTCAATTAAAAAAAAATATTTGTTTTAACTAATAGCCAAATTTTTTTCATAATTAAAAACTACTGAGTATTTATTTGTTTAAAAATAATCAAATTTTTATACTTACGCGCATTGAATAAATTTTAAAAAAACTAACTTTTTGTAACAAAATTAAATACAAAATACCCCTATTAAATTGTATAGCTTAAAATGAAAAACAAAAATTTAAAAAAAAACAAACAATGAAGTATCTTTTTTTTATTCATATTTTCTTCTCATTAATAGATTGATTGCAGAACAAAAATTTAACATAACAGCGATTGCACAACGATCGCCAAGTAACAGTAGGTCTACTAAAAATAATTGACAAGAATCGTTAAATCCCGAGAGACAGACAAAAAACAAAAAAAAAGAAGAAGAAAAAGTTTCGAAATAATGCGCAATGAAACGATCGCTAAGTAGCAAAAGTCTCACTGAAAATAAATTACAAGAAACGTTAAATCCCGACAAAATAAAGTTGACAGCAATCACAAAATTATGTAAGTCCAGCTGAAAATAATCTTCAAGTGAACCTCCTAAGACAAAAATGGCGCATGACGAAACTATGCATAGCGTTCTATTTCACCGCTGATTCTCACACGAGATTCACACATGTTAAATCATTAAACACGAGCGTTGTCTTACATGACGACGGCTTAAATCAGATTTCTGATGCATCGCCTAAAGCGAGAGTCACTCTCGGCAGGACAGCTTAAATCAAATTTCTGATGCATCGAAAATGAAAGTCACTCTTGGCAGCTTAAATCAAATTTCTGATGCATCGAAAATGAAAATCACTATCGGTTGCTTAAATCAGATTTCTGATGCATTGCCTAAAACAAAAGTCATTATATCGGCTTGCCCATATATGCATTAAATCGATATTTCACGATGCATCGATTTATAGCCCAGTCCTAGTGGCTACTCTGTTTTTCTTTAAAGTGTAACAAATAAAATTGCTTTCAGTATTTATTCTATATGGAAAACACTGTTTTATTGTACTTACTTTGTTCTATGGGTTTCTCAGTTTTGTGTCTGTTATCTCATTTTTCTTGGAAAGTGATCAAACTTTCAGTTCATAAATTTTTTATGTTTATCCTTTCTGACCAAAATATGTTTTTTTTTCCTGTTCCATACTTATGCTGCTGTTCAACCCACAGATTTCTCATTTGTATTTTAACACATTTATTGGAGCACTTTTTGTTTTCTAATCTCTTATGTAATTTGTTTTTCAAGACCAAATTTCTTTATATGTAGGATGAACTGAAAAGGGATACAAGAGTTACATGGTTAGTAACATTCTACACTGTATGGAATTCCAACTGTGTGAATTTTGCACCTGTTTTTGCTGAAATGTCTGTCAAGTAAGATTTCTTTTTAAGCAAATTACAAGTATGTTCTATTGTTTGTCTCACTATATGACCATGAATTTGATTTTGAGGGAGGACAAGTATTATTTTGATTGTTAAATTTAAAAATAAAATATATAATATTTAAACATTTTGTTACTTAAAATCTGAATTGTGAAATCATTTTGAGCACTCACTGTGGTATAAAATGGTGCAAACAAAATTATTTTTATCTTTAAGATTTACAGTCGACATAAAAATCCCTTATTCATATTTTATTTTATAACCGTCATTGAACAGCTGGCCCAATTTTTTGGTTTATGGCTACTTATGATCAACTCTGTAGCCTTGTAATTTTGAACCCAATCCAGAAGACAAGGGAACTCGTGGATCAAGTATTGGGAGAAATTTGCCTTCGTTTAGGACTTTTTGATGGAACTGACCCACAATTGCATTACATGGAGAGGAAAGCAACGAAAACCTCCCATGGTCAGCCTGATGACAAGGGGACTCCAACTACCACTGTGGTTTTTTTTGTGTCAGCACTGTGTTCGGTGCGAGCCACGTGCCAATTTCGTATTGACCAGCCGTCGCTGGGATTTGATCCTGGTTCACCTCATTGAAAGATTAATGCTCTATCCCCTGAGCCACTACGGCTCCCATCTTCATGTTGAAAATTATTTGGATAATTTGCTTTTTTTTCTTCATTGAACTATTTGTTTCTTTGTTTTTTTGCCCTTGATGATTCCCTTCAAGAGATGATGCTTTAAAAATCAAATACTTTGAAAGTGAAAATACAGTTGGTGATTGTTTAGCAGTAAAAGTTACAATAATGTTATTAAGACAGTATTATTATACATGAAACTTTGATCATAGGCACTTATAAATTTTCATGCATCAATCTATCTATATTATTACATTATTTTCACGAACTGGACAAATATATATATAATATATAAGGACATATATGAATAATATGTTGTTCAAGGAAAATTTGTCCCTATCATGTACATTTTTTAATATGACTGATTGCAAGCAAGAAAGGTCAAAGTTGCCTTATTTTACCCTGCAGTCAACTTTTTTCAACACTGCAGAAAACTATTTAGTATTACTCCTTATAAAGAAGAAAAAAAAAGAGAAAGGTCACAATTCCTCAATCGTAACTCGCTGGTCAATCTAGCAAAGAATGATGTAAGAATTTCTTTCTCTGCTTCACACAGTCGCACTTTCCCTGCGATTACATCACTGCATTTGACTTTCAGGCATGCTGGTATGTATGATAATCAGTATAAAATTATATGAAAGTTTAGACATTTTTTAAAAAATCAGTGATGGTTAAATTTCTTCAAAATAGTTTACAAAGAAAGGGTGAAACTAGTTAAGATATGGAGTTATTTAATATTGCAGTGTTTAAGAGTTAATTATAATTGCGTGCAAAAAGTTTTTTATCGAGATTTTGTGTTTGCTGAAAGTTTTAAGTTTGGACATGGTATAGATGTTATCTACATAGCTGCCTACTCTACTGGATTTTGCCGGTTTCTCCTGGTCTATTGGCTTTATAAAAATTCTCCAGGTTTTTGTACATTTTTGAAAATTCCCTAAAATTGAGTATGTTTCCTAAAAAAACTCCCTATTGAAATAGACTTTTTGCACAGATTATTGCTTGCTTGAATATTTAAACAAGTATTACTAATATATAATGAAACAAACCTCATTTATAGAAATCAGTTAAAAACTTTTTTTGATCTGCACTGTTCAGCTTATTTTTATTCAAAAGTCCCTTTCTAAATTAAGAAATCTTAATTATTTCTTAGGAATTAAATGCCTATTACTATTTAAAAATTATGAGTAAACATAATTCACAATTTTTTAAACATATTTAATGCCAATCATGACCAGAAAATATTTCAGTTTTTCCATTTTGATGTCTATAAAAATCCCTAAAATTCCCTATACATTATGCAAGAATTATATTGAAATTAATTAATTTGTAAAATCTGATGGATTTTTCAATTTATGATGGCAGCTATGTATTTATCATTATAAGATATTATTCTTTACAAATAATCTTATGCTTCCATAAAAATCAATGTTGTTTTTGCAGATATGGACTTGATAATTTAAAGTTTGGAAAATTAGATGCCACTAGATTCCCTGAAGTAGCTGAAAAGTAATATTTTCATCTAATAACTAACTGAAGTATAATTTTTTTTTAAATTTTGTTTTTCTAATATCTATGTTTTTTATGTTACACTAGCTTTTACAGTTTTCTAAAAGGTTACACGTGTTTGTGTAATTGTCAGATTCTTTAATTCTGTTATTGTTCTTTTCATGTAATTCTGTAAAACATTTCCACTGTTTTTGACTGAAATCTTTGATTTATAACTCATCTAATAATTTGATTTATTTTTTTTAATTTTAGAAAATTAATTAGGAAAATATTTTTATAAAAATGCTATATTTTCATTTTGTATTTCAAAGTAAAGAATTAAATGGGTATTTTTTTGTTTAGTATTAATTTTGCTTTTTAGTGAAAGAAAATTTATAGGTGAAATTCAAAAGTTATAAAAAATTCTTTTTGAAATAAAATTATTATTATTGTTTGTTTCTTACAGAATTTGAACTTGACAATTGCTTTTTTCTCAATTATTATTTTGATACTTTTTTGATTATTTGTACTTACATACAAAAAGATGTGAACAAAGTTTAAAATTAATAAATTATTTTTAGTATTTTATGTTTTTCAATTCAAGAGAAAAAATTTAACTTAGAATGGAATATGGATAAAGATTCCACTATGAATTCAAAAAAATATTTTCATTTATTTTATATTCTTTAAATAAAAAATATAATAAAACAATTTTAATTTAAAGAAGATTTAAACTTTAGACCTACCAGGTAGGAGGCAGTTATCCTAACAAATGCTCCACACTCAACTTTTAATTTGGATATTGAATGAATTTAAAGCTAAAGGGCTCCTATCTTATCCTAGAAGCTTCAGTGGTATAAAATTTATTCCACATCATGTGTTTTCAACTTTACTCTTCAATTTAAGCTTAAATTTTGTTTCAATAGTAATTCATTCCTTCCCTTTGATGCATTCATTCATTCCCTTCGATTAATTCGTTCCTTCTTACATTACAATTATTACATATTTTTAAAAATCTTTAAGATACTATAGTGCAGGGGTGGCGAACCTTTATACACCAACGTGCCATTTTTTGGAAAAAATTGTTTAATGAAGTCACAGACGTGCCACCAAATAATTTTGACTTCATGATTATTGCTTGGAAAAATAATAATACTAAATACTATCAACTCAAAACTCTTTATTTACATTGAAAAGAAAATACATTTTGCAATGTCTCAGTTATACGCGTAATTCAACTTAAAGTAACATCAGTGTGACTTCTGCTATTGCAGATTAAATGACAAATAACTTATATTAGGTTGTAAGATATTGGTTTGTTGACTGTTGATTTTTTTTGTTAGTTATTTATTGCTTTTTTTATGGTTATCAATTGTTTTTTTTAGCATTAATTGTTAATTTTTTTATTAATAATTGTTTATTATTTTGTTTGTTTTTTATGAATTTTAATTTAATTGTTATATGTGCTTCATAGTGTAATAACATTTGTGGAATAACAATTCATAGTGCAATAACAATTGTGATCGGTGACGTGCCCAAAATATTGTGTAGCGTGCCATTGGTTCGCCATCCCTGCTATAGTGGCTTCAGAAAAGTTTGAAAAACTTACAAATTCAAAGCAAAGTTTTAACTATATGTACTATTTTAATGAATACTATATTGTACGATTTAAACAAATAATAATTAGATGTAACTATAATTTCAAAACTATCTATACTATTTCGAAACAAGGTTAATATTTTAGCTTTGAATTGTATACACTTCAGTCGGACCTCTATTTAACGAAGTCGTTAAATCCCAATGATAGGTTTGTTTGGAAAATTCGTTAAATAGAAAATCACCTTTTGAAATAATTAAACAACACATAACAGGTTTCAAATTCATAAACACTAGACATAATTAAAATGCAATTGAAACACTTTTATCTTGTAAACTAATTTATTTTATAAATCTTAACCATAAAAGAAATCTGCATGGAAAGCAAGAATAGTGCGAAACATTATCCAGTACATGATACGTACATTTTCCACTAAAAAAAAAAAGCTAAATTTACGTATAAAATTATAGCTGCATTTATTATAAAAGTAAGTTTAAACATACATTACCACAAGTGTTCTTAAGTTTTAATTGCAACAAAAAGGGAAAGGGATTTTACTGCTTTTTCTAAAAGTTAAATGGTTTTGAAGATCAAATCAAGGTCATTTCCCCCATAAAATGCATTAAAAAGTTTGAAATATTTAGGGAAATAAGGAAAGTGTATTTCACAGAAAAGTTTGTTAAATAGAAAATGCACTTTGCTATTTTACAAAGAAATTTCCAAAATGTTCTTGGTTCCTTGGAAAAAATCGCAAAGTAAAAGTTCGTGAAGTACAATTCCAACTGTATTTTAAAACTTTAAGTACTATAACTAATATAATATTTTACTATTTGTATATTATTTTATTTAATGTTAATGTAATCCAGAAAAGAATTGTCTAGATTTTAAAATAGACAAATAGCTTAAACATCTAAGAGAATTATTAAACTTTCTTTTAAAAAAAACTGTTAATTTGGGCAATGTATTCCCAATGTGGAAATCACTATATGGAAATTATTGAGAATAATTCAATAACTCTCAATTTTTGCTTATTTTCATGAGTCCAATTAATACAGTTATAAAAAAAAAATTTAAAAAAAATTAGATTTTAAAAATTTCCCAAAACTGTGGCTCCTCTTTCCCATTGACATTTTGCCCATATTGTAGAAGGCATTGGTTGAAGATAGACAGAAGCTTAATCTAATAGACATAAATACAGTCGAACTTCTATTTAATGGACTTCCATTTTGCCACTTTCTTCAAGAAACCAAGAACATTTTAGAAATTTCTTCGTAACATAACTTCCAAGTAGCTAAGTGAATTCTCTATTACTTATCGACAAACTTTTCTTTGAGATCCACTTTCCCTATTTCCCGAAATATTTCAAACTTGTTGACGTGTTTTATGAGGGTAATGACCTTGAAATGATTTTCAAAGCCACTTAACTTTTAGAGAAAGCAGTAAAGTCCCTTTCTCTATTTATTTCAAACGAAAAACTCAGACAAAATTAACGGATTTTATCAGTAACAATTAAACTTAAGAATGCATGTAGCAGTGTATGTTTAAAATTTACTTTTATAATAAAAGCAGCTATAATTTTATATATAAATTTAGCTTTTTTTAGTTGAAAATGTATGTAGCATGATAGTGTAACGCCGGATAATGTTTTGCTCAAGATAAAGGTGTATCAATTGCTATTTTAATTATGTCTAGTGTTAATGAATTTAAAACCTGTTTTGTCTTGTGTAAGATCTATTGAAAGGTGATTTTCTATTTAACGAACTTATTATCGGGATTTAGCGACTTCGTTAAATATAGATCCGACTGTATCTGTTAAAATAATTTTAAAAATAGTACATTATTTGTTAAAAAGCATCACCTAGCCTTCAAAGAACAGCTTAGAATACAAGTTCTAATTTTTTTGTTTTTGTTTGTATAGATTCCACGTGAGTACATCTGCCTTTTCAAAACAACTTCCGACTGTTATTCTTTTCCAAAAAGGCAAAGAAGTGTGCCGTAGACCAACTGTGGATGCTAACTACAAACTGATAAAGTTTTTCTTTTCCGAGGTAATGAAACTTTTCCTTTATAGGGAAGTATACTTTACTGTATGAATCAACTTTTTTTTTTAAATATAATGTAACTAGTTATGTCTTTGACTTAAAATTTAATTGTCAAAAGACATTCATTAATTTAAAATAATCTATCAAACTTTCATTCTAGATATTTATATATGACATCTATCAATTATTAATACAATTGTACTCCTTTTTTGTAATAAGAACATTAGAGTTGAAGCTTTTTGTTTATTAAAGCTTGTTGTTCGTTTAACTTCAGCTCATTTAACGCATGTTCATATAGTAATATGTGGGTGCAAAAAAGAGATAATAGTTATCAATAGGAAAAAAAAGTAAAACAAAGGTGTTGACAGAGTGAAATTACAGGCTGCCTGTACAGCTTGCAAAATAAAAAATAGACCACCCTAAAAACCTTTTGATCGAATAAGCAGATATTCGCGATCCGGGACTCAATCTTAATTGTGATTTGGGGTGACCTCAAATATGCTAAATAAATTAGTGTACACGATATTTTAAGTTGCAAAATCAGACACAAAAACGAAACTTTCAATAAACATCTCATTTTTGTTTCTCTTCTTTTTTTCTTCTTTTTTTGTTGTTGAAGGATTTGGATTTCTGATCCCCAAAATATAGGAGGTAGCCCGCGATCTGGGAAATATGGTCTTAGTAGTTTGGTCAGGAGAGCAGTCCAAAGTTTAGACCCCTTAATGCTTATTTTACTTTTGCGTACTTTTGAGCAAAATTCATTGAATAGTTCCTGAGAAATCAAATTTTGAAATAGTTATATTTTTAAATTTAGAAAAAAGGTATGTTTATTCAAAGCAACACGTCTTTGTGTCTAATTTCGTAGCTTAAACTATCGCCTGGACTAGTTTTTTTATCATATTTGAGGTCACCCCCTTGAACCATTAAGATTGAATCCTAGAAGGTGAAGATCCGATCATTAGATCAAAAGTTATTTAGAGTGATCTATTTTTTATTTTGCGCTCTGTATATAGCATCAGGGCTGGAAGTAAATAAAGTTAAACTGGAGTTTTCTCTTGAGCCAACGTTATTATATGCTGGATGTTAAAACTGGTGCAACTAGCTTACCGTTAACCCATATGTGATGCCACAAAAGACAATACATATTACCCAGCTTTTAAAGTTTCTTTATTTCGTAAATTTAATCATTCGTAATAACTCTTTAAATAAATAAATGATGTAGTTAATTTATAATTACATCATTTACATCATCATTATAAGAGCGAATGCTATTCTCACTAAATGTAGTGACTATCTTTTTATTTCAATGCAAGTGTATAACTAATTATTCAATGTCACAACAACTGAACATCAAAATCTATTTTACTTTTTTCTACCGCAGTCAACATTAGCATATACGTTATAAGGTTTACTTTGATTTCCAACGAACTATTTGCCTTTCAATCTTCAGCCAAATTATTTAAATATTTACATGAGATATTGTGAGGTTGGCTGAATTGGCTTTTCTTTTGGCAGTGTTCTTTTTTGATAATGCACCTATAATGGATCTTTCCTGTATTACAAAGCATTGATTACTTTTAATTTGACTTTGTTGTGGGAAATTTATCTCCCATGGCCTTAATTATATTACGCAAAATTCATTATTTTGCTTAATATGTCACATGGAGAATGTTCTTTTTATTTAACAACTCGATGTCTGCAAAAAATAAAATTTTTATTGTGATTTTATCCTGTTTTGACTATCTACTTCAATTAGGCGATCTACACCACCAACTGCATCATCTTTCCATTAATAAAGATCTTCCTTCTATATTTTTCTCGTTTTTTTTTATAAATATAGAGATGATTGTGCTCCGAAAAAAAAATCCGGATTTTTTACTCCGGACAATTGCGGTCGGGAAGTTTCCGGAAATCCAAGGTCTGGAAGTTTCAAGAAATCATTGATCACTTTTATGTTTAAAAATTCTTGTATATTTAATTTAAAAATATTAGAACTAGAATACTTGGCATCTCTTTCATTTGTAAATATTCTTTCTGGTAGAATAATAAATGTGATTAGAGATAAAAGTCAACTTATACATAATTATTAATTTAAATTATTTATATAATGTAATTCATATAATTTATTTAGAATTTCATGTTTTGGAAATATCAATTATTTAAATTTATAACGACATTAATTTTTTGAAATGCGTTATTAATGATTTTACTCAAATTTTCAGGATTTTTGAGTTGGCTCGCAATTACCCCTGAAAATACAACAATAATTGATTGCTGACACACGAGTAAACATGTGTTTCATGTAAAGCGATATTTCATGCTAAACGGTTTTGCTTTAATAAGTTTAGACTGTATTTGGCACTTTTTTTAAAATCAAAACTTAGGTTTTGATCTTTATTAAATTAATAAAAAAAATTATATTTCTGAGGAAATTTTTTTGGTTTGATATAAATTGCGGTCTGAAATTTTGATTACACTATCTGGAAAATTGTGTGACATTTACTTCTGAAATTGAGTGGATGCTATAGAGCAAAATTAAGAAATTTTGTTTCTGACCAGTGACCAGAAGTTGCATTTTTAAAAGTGGCCACTTTTTCAAAAATTGAAAATTCTAAGCAATTAAAAAAATACTATTGAGATTATTAATGTAAGAAATTTCTGTTTAATAATATTTTTGAAATATAGTAAACAATTTTTAAAATGAAAAAAAAACTATCTTGACCTATCCAAGTTTATGTAAAATTTAGCGTTAGTGATTTTGAATCAATAATGCAATAGAAAAATTAACAAATGTACAATTTATTCATTACCAAAAAATATCTGGTATAATTGTGATCATAATAGTGATATTATATTAATTAGATTATGTAAACTAAATTTTTTAAAAATGTAATATGAAACTAACTTGACTCAAATTAAACTTTTGATAACCAAATTCAGTTTCACAAAAATTCTAAAAAGTATAATAAATATACTATAATAAGTTGAATCTAAATTGATGCGAAACAAAATAATAAAATCATTGAAAATGAAACATTAAAAAGTTATTAAAAGAAAGATAATCAGAAAACCATATTATTTTTTATTGTTCAGTTAAAATATATTTTAAATTTAGAAAGTAAACACATCTAAATATTTTAATGACTTTATGTCTGAGGAAATAAAAAAAAACAAGTGTGAAATAAAGTAATTTGATTTTGTTGAAAAAAATGGCAATTAATAGACTGGGCAATTTTTTAATTCCCACTTTTTATATTTAGTAGTCCTGTAGATAGTGATGACTATTAATTTTACCTTACAGTGCAAACCCTATTATAATCTGAAGGTTTAATAAGTAGTAAATTTAAGTTTGACCCTATGTTTTGTAAAGTTTGTTATTAAGTTTAACCCCCAATTGATTCATTGAAGTTTTAACTCTTATCACTTAGTGAAAACTTGTTAAATTATATATTTTAATTCTTTATACTATTCCTGACTATTATTTATGTAATTGTTGATCCCGACAATGGTATTTTTTCCACCTAGGAAAATGTTACTGCTGGCTTTAATTTAAATAATTTGTATCAGGAATGTAAAGCTAATCCTATCAGGAAACCCAAAAAAGAAGATGATCACTCTAAAACTGATTAGTTTTATTATTCTAATTGTATCAGACTTGTCTTTCATCTGTGAAACAGGTAATTAAACTCTTTTGATTTAAAAATATAATTTTAAATTTAATGATATTTTGTAAAATGTCTTATATTCCAAGTATTATTATTAAACATTATTAATTTTAGATTCTACTGTGTAAGGTGTTAGATTATGGCCGATATTTTAAGACAAAGCCTCCACCCTTTTTATATTTGTTTGATATGTCTATTTTTTTTTAATGTTGTTGATTCGACCCTTTAAAAGGTCTCTTTTTTTTACGATTTGAAATAAGGATGTTAAATTGGAAAAGGAATATGTCTTATCTTCGGGATGTTAAAATATTAGGTTTGATTTGTAAAAAGAAGTTCCTTTAGCTTATAACTTTTTATTAACAGAATTTAGTAACCAAGTTACTAAATTCTTGCGTTTATAAATGCAAGTAAACTCAATCTGGGTATCCAACGATAGAGAAAACTGGAAATTATCAGGGAAAACTGGGAATTGTCGCATTACTGAACTCGATAATGCGACAGCGCATAGAGCACCAAAGCCTACTGTGCTCATCTCAGTTTCTTGACCTTGGGCTCTGGGGTGCAGGGACAGATGTTCCGGTTGGGTAGTTATTGGAAAGTGGAATTCCCAGCATTTAGACCCAAGCATGCTTGGTACTCATCTTGTCGACCTACTGAAGGGATGAAAGGCTGAGTCAATCTTGCCCAGACCGACGATCAAACCCAAGACTTGTGACTCAAGAGAGTGAAGCGCTATTACTCAGCCATTAATTCAATTTTTTTCCACATGCAAAATTCCAGACGATTCTATTGTATTTCCGCTTCTTTTGAGGATAGTTCTATTAGAAGTTATTTATAATTTTTTCAGCCTCTTTCACTTAGTTTATCAAACGGTACTATTAACGTTGATATGGTATATTGATAAATACTGTATTACGATCTGGGAATACGTGACGTGTTTGATTTGTGATGATTCTATCGTAATTTCATTGTTTGCTGATTGTACTTTCACTAGTTATTTACTATTTTTTCAGCCCCTTTCGTAAAGTTTTTCAAATTCTTTATATTTTTATTACGATGTGAGTACGATTTGAGCTATCACTATTTGACACGTTCGATTCAGGGCGATTACATAACTTTTATCATTAAATTATAGTTTTCCGACTGCTATTTATTACTTTAAAAAATGTTTAGTACATAATTATAATGCTCAAATTTCAAATTATTTGGATTCAGGACAATTCCATTTTATTTTATTTTATAACCGTCGTTGAGCAGCCGACCCATTTTCATGGATTTACGACTACTTACGTTCAACTCCGTAGCCTTGTAATTTTGAACCAATCCAGAAGATGACGAGGAAACTCCTGGATCAGTACCCCCAGAAGTATTGATTTGTTGTGGGAACATGGAGGACTTTGAGACTCGACAGATTTAACGTGCATCAGTCACCATTTACTACACGGGGAGTCTTCGGCCGGCGAGGATCAAACCCATGACCTCTTGGATATGTGCCCAGCGCCCTACCGACCAGGCTATCCCGGCCCTAGGACAATTCCATTATAACTTTTATAATTAAATTATAGTTTTTTGGCCCTTTCCAATTTGTTTTTCAAACTCTGATTTTTTCTAGTACAGAATTATGATGCACAAATTTCAAATTTAAGTTATGACTTTTTCCGGGTTTAATTGTCAACAATTTCGTTGTGAATCCACATCTTTTCCCGATCGTTTTTGGCCATTTCCTCCTGTTTTTTCTAATTCTGATATTCTCTATACAGTGGTTCCCATTTTTTTCAGCTACAGAACCCTAAATAATCTTTTACTCTAATAATCTAAAACTTCTTTTTGCAGAACCCTGACTTTTTAATTGAAATCCAGTAGCAATTGTGAACAAATAAATCATTTATTTGAAATTATGAACATTATCCTGTTAAAGTATAAACCAAAGCAATTGTTACATTAGTAACTGGGAAAACAAAGATTTTTTTTTTTTATCTTTATGTATTCTATTCCCCCNTCCCCCCCCCCCCCAAAAAAAAAAGTTCATCTTTGAAAAACTGTTTAAAAGAATGCAAACAATAATTTCTGTTTTTAAAAATACGTTTTCAGGGGAAAAAGTCCTATTTTCCCTATAAATCTTATAGTTTGTATAGAAAGATCAAAAAGCATTCTAAAATTTTTTTTATTGAAATAACTACTTTCTTTAATCCATTCATAGTGCATAGCTTTTTTTAAAGGTGCTTATTTTCAATTTTTAAAAGCACGTAAAGGTGGTTTTTTTATTTGTGATTTGAAAAAGTGCATAATTTTCCCTTTTAGAAAATGAATTTTTTTTCTTTACTGTGTTGATTTCCGCCACGCATTATGAAGCGTGGTTTTCACATTGTTCTATTAAATGTTTTCACAATTCATTCAAACAGAATGCATTTTGGCTTACTGTTAGTCTGCAGCGTATGAAAGCACCAATCATGTTGCATGTTTGATGAAATACCAGAAGATCTGCATGTGAGTATACTGAACTGCGTTAGGTGAGATTCTTGCACTCTTCTGTATTTTGGCAAGATATTCTCAATTTCAGACTTCATTTTTCACCCTCTAAAATTGAATCGAAAAATCTCTCGATCTTTGGTGGCTAATGTAATCAAGAAAAGAGTTATTTCTCAAAAACTAATTATTTTATCATAAACATGTGAAGTCTTTAAAAAAAATTTTGATTTTATTAATGTATGTAGTACTTAAAAATATTTTTTAATGCTAAAAAAGTATTTAAAATGTGCTATTTTTTGTTGAAAGATTTGGCTATGGACCCTAATACTGTTGAAAAAATAGTCATAAAAAATGTTAGTATGGGAATGATATGCTTAAGCACAATGTTATCTAAAAGGTTAAACTTGCTATATTGTCAAGTTAATTGTTTTGCTAAAAATATTGTAAGTAAAAATCTACAGAATATTTTTTTTTAAAAAATTACTGCTATTGCACAAGATCGGCAATTTCATGATAAACTATTAGAAAAAGAAACAACTTGTAATAATTTTGTCAATTGTCAGATAATTATGCTGCTCTAGATTAAACCTAAAAATTGTTTTTATAAATTGACTGATTCAAATTAAGATGTTACTATTGTTAAAAAAAAATATTGGAACTGCAATATAGGTCTAAAAAATTTGACCTTATTAACATAAACTAAACTTGTGAAAGCAATTCCTCTGATGCTTCTCAGTTTGTGATTGCTTTATAGTTTGTTTTTATCATATTTTCTGTTTGTTGGTTTTTGTAATTCATTTTCATATAATATAATTAATTTTACTTTAGAGTGACTATGAAAGATGAAGAAAGCAGAAACATGTCTTTTTCTTAAATGGATTCAGTTCAACTATTCATCTGTATGATTTGCAAAGAAGGTATATCCTCATTTTACACCTGTAGTTCACTTAACAAATTGATTGTGAGAACTTACTCTCTTTTTCTATTTGTATGTTTGTCTTACTTTGATAACTTTTTTCTATTATGAATCTCAAACTCTTATGTGCAATAAATATTATCATTCTTTTGTCAACAAAAAAATTATGTGTATTTATACTTAATAATTTTAAATAAAAAATATATATTACAACAAATAGCTCTCTTTTTGAACTTGTTAGAATGATTTATTTTAAACGAGTAAATTAGAGATTCTCTAACTGCTTATCTTTGTGCCCTTCTGTCTCTCCCACTCCATGTAATTCCAATTTTTAAAAAATAGTTAAATATCATATAATATTGATTACCGGGGCAAAAAAATTAAAGGGAATTTTTAATTTCTGAGAAAAGTTAAAAAAAATTTTCTTCAAGCAATCTCAAGTTTTTATTAATTTGAAAAAAATTTATTTCACTCTTTTCTGCAATTACTTTAGTCTGCTCCAAACCTTCTATCTAACGAAAGAGTTTTGAGTAGTGAGAAAAACGTTTGTTAGTGAGAAAAACGTTTTGAGTAGTGAGAAAAAAGTTTGAATTTTAGGAATCCAAAGCCAACAAAAAAAGAATATTTATTTAGAAAAGGTATGTTCTTGTGTCTGATTTCATAACTTAAAATGGTGTCAGCACAAATTAATATGCATTCTTGGAACCCTGAAGGTTGAGTCTTGATATGTGAAAATCCAATCATGAGATCAAAAGTAATTAAAGGGATTTTTTTTTTCTTGCACTGTTCATGTTTATAGAAAACACTTAAAATCATGTAAAAAATAAATTATAGTACTTTACTTTAATACTCGTGTAAATTTCTGATAGATGTGCATTTTAATTATCCTTTTTATTGCTTTTAATTTAGATTTTATTTTTCAGTGAAAGTTTAAAAAAAATACTAGTTTCATTATAGCTTTAAAAGCTTAAAATTTTGTTTCTATTTTTGTCTTTGTATTTAAATTGTTTAATATTTACTTACTAGTAAATTTAAATTATTCTTGAAAAAGTGAATTTATAGATGTGGTTTTGGAAAACCTAGAAAAGTTAGGGAAATCTCCAGAAAAGTATGCAAATTTATTAACTTATGCAAAAACGTTAACTTAAGCAAAGTCAAAAGAAAATTAACTTTTAAAAAAAATTATATTTAGTATATAAAATTTGTTGTGTTCTTATTAAGAGCCCTCTTCTCTGCCATCTTAGATTTTTTCATTTGGATTTTGGTTCTTTAAAGTCCGATATTCTTAATATGATGTTCATTACAAAAACCGGATGTCGAAACAAAACACGCATTTGAGTGACCTCTTATTAAAAGAGACACACGTGTGATTTTGTCGTCGATCTTTTTTTCGGTAGTTACCGGAAAAGATTTCTCGATTTTTAATTAGTTTTTTTTATGTGATAATGATTTAATGATAATGTGATAATGATAATGAATTAATGAAAAGGAAATAATTAGTGCGTTTTTCTCCTACAAAGAAAATAATCCATAGTATTAGAATAAAACAATTTGCATATTCTATTAAAAATATTTAAATACAATTGATTTTACCAAAATAGGTTGTTTGTAAACTTTTGTTACTTAAAATTATTAACGTATATATTTGTTGTTATTAAAATTATCTTGCTGAAAGATATTAGTGCTAGAGAGGTTTGCCGCAGAATGCCCGAAAAGATTCTGCCACAGGGGTTTTAACCATCAAGTATAATGTGTTATGTTTGGATCTTTCTTTGTCATTATTTTGATCAGAATCTTATGCAGAAAGAAGCAAACATCTGTAACTTATTATTTTAACAGGGTTCATGTGCTCTTTAAAATATTTAAAGCCATGGCTTTTATATTGAAATAAAGAAATCATCTTTAACTTTAAAATTATTTTAATGTAACTTTACTAGAAAAGAAAGGCGCTATATAGGGTTAAAGTAGAAAAGTACCTAAAATGAAAGGCTGGGTTTTATATTTTTGCGAAATCATGAAATGTTTAAAATGCATGCCATGTTTTTATAGTGTAATAATAACGACTAGATTTTATATAATTATACATTTTATTGAACAGCATTTTTTAATGAGGAAAGACACTTATAATACAAGAAGGCCGCTTTTGGTCCAGTATATGCAATAGAATCTGTAATATTTGACTGTACACAACAACCTTTTGATATGAGAGAGAATACTGCTCCTATTGCACCTCATTATAACAAACACTTAGTTCTACCAGTACTGAAATACACTGTACATTTTTCTGATTGTCTTCAGAAGTACTGGCAAACCGTTTAAAATAAGTTTATATTACAATTTGTACATTCTTACCTAGTTTCAATTTCAATTGGATGACCTTTTGGAATACAAACTCATATTCATGACTATTTAATATTTTTAAAAATATTGTTTTGAATGAAATATACAATGAGCACTGTTAGCCATTACAATTAATTACGGCTAAATGGAAGAATATTTTAGACGAATCTTAAAAATGAACTTTTTCATCGCATTATTTAGAGGTGCTAAACTAGCTATCCGTAATTCGGAGTACAATAATACATATAACATTAACGAAATTCGAATTAGTACAAATTTCAAGGTGTTTTTACTACTTAATGCTTTAAGGTATATGCCTATGTGTGAATTTATTTAATAAAAAAAAGTAACACCTAAGTTGATTTTTTGAAATACTTGCTGCAAACCACAAAATTTTATAACTGTTGATAGTTTATGCGTGATTCATTTAATAAAAAATGTAACACCTAAGGGTTTTTTTTTTTAATATTTACTGCAAACCACACAATTTTATAACTCTTGATAGTTTAAAAAAACTTATTTTTAACTAATTATTATGAAAATTATCTAAAATCATAATTTTTATTATGACCATAATTTATATTTTAAATGGTAATAATTCGGGATAGATTAATGGTTCACACCTCTGCTTATTTAACAGAATAAATTCCACACTTACAAACAACCGTAACATGAGTGCCACTAAACATATTCTTCCACTAGGTTCTTCAAAATGGTTTGTGAAGCGAAAACAAAGCTACAACCACCAGGGTTGATAACTCCTATGCAGAACCTGTCCTGCAGTTAAATTTATTTATTGTTGGGTAATATTTTTAATAGTCTCAAGGAATGAGGGTAATATAGTAGCAGTATCCTTGAAATGGTTTCTACAACAAAATAGACAACACTACAAAATGAAAATTATTGCACAGATAGTTACAATCAATCCCTTTAACAAAATGCAATGGATGAAACTAAAGTTAAAAATGAACTGTTATAGGTTGTTCCATATAAAATCATACATACCAACCCCCTGATTTAATCAAAAAGTTTTCTTTTTTATTTTCGTGCATTTTAACAAAAATCTCAGGAAAGTTCCAAAAATTATCCCTATTTAACTAGATTTTTTTTATCCTCCTTATTGCTTCATGTAGAAGATATTAACAATGCACTACTTTAAGGGGAAATTTTAAAAAAATTAACTTTGAGCTATGCTACATTAAAACAAAGGAGAGTTAGCTTTACTCTGCAGTAAGGAGAAATAAAGGATTTACTTACTACTGCATCTAAATAAAGTTAAAGAGAGATAAAGAATAATATGAGAAAAAGCACTGATAGTATTATATTACACATTGTTTAAATTCCTAAGTAAAGCTTAAAAGTGAAGTAAACCTCTAATAGAAAGTCAATTAAAATAAGTTTTTTTTTCTAACTCCAGAATTTTAATATTAAGATTGTTTTATTGTTAATTTAATAAAAAAATAATTTATACATTCTTTAATTATAGATTTAAGTAAATAATGAACATAAAAAAAATTATATTGAAACTTTAGTCAGAATTTTTTTTATGTAATGTTAAGTTTCTTTGTACTTTAAAATCAGTTAAATATTGCAGTTTTTAAATTGAAATCTAATATATTGGAGTACAATTATTCTCTCATTCTCATTTTTTAAGAGTCAGAATTTAAAGAAATGTTCTACTTCACCCAATCCATTCTCAGGACTTATCTCCTAGGCACATATGAATTCTTTGAAATAAAAACTTCTTACAAAACTCCCACGGGTCTGGGAAAACCTGGAATTGTCAGGGAATTTTATTTTCCCTTTTAAAAGAGCAGGGAAAGTTGCAATTATAATTGACTTGAAATATAATTGAATTGAATTGAAAATTATATTTTATATGGAACAGCCTTTCCTGAGACTACAAAGATAAGTGCACTTTGAATATGTTGAGCAATAAAAACTACTTTCTATAAAATATGTTTGCATATAACACAAATAGGAATGTTTCTTTTAACAACATTAACTATGTATAATCATTGTATAGTATTTTTTCATACATGTTTTTCTTTAAAAATATGTTTATGGTGCAAACAGGAAATATAACTAAAATCAAAGAATTACATTCTACATAAGATTTGTTGAATAACATAGTATTTTGTAATTGGATGATTACATCATTCAATATTACTTAACTACTTTGATGTTGGTTTAAGATTTGAGCCTCAGTTTAAAATTTATATGTATAATAACTAATGGATTAAATATGTTGAATAGCCTGATGTAATTTGATTATATAAATAGGTTTTTATATGAAAAATATATATGCTTTATATTTAAGAGTAGTATACATTTAAAACTGTTGAAATTGAATAAATGAAGGAAAAAAAATGTATTTTATAACTGACAATTAGTTTGTAAAAATTTTAATTTAAAATGTCTGTGAATATCATGGCCTTATTCATAAAAAGTATGAAAGTGAAAAACATGCTTATTATTTCTACATCATTAAAAGAATTCAGTAATGATTGATAATGAAATAATAAGATAAAATAAAAGTTTGAATTAAATACCTCATTTGAGAATCAACAGAACTTATACTCGTGAGTTGCGGCAGTAATATGGTTCTAATTATACAACTGCCTGAAAGTTATTTCTTTTTACATTATTAATAATGCATCAAATATAATATTTTTTAGGAAAGGGTAACAATGTAAACATTTTCTATAAAATATATGCATCTTAATGATGACATAAGGCACAATTATTGATAAAAATTGGCTGAATTTTCAAAGGCAATAGATCATTTGAGCAGAGCAGATGCAAAAAATAGGTCACAATAAACACTTTAATAATAAAACAATCTCAAAAAATAGAGTGTTGCGGCTAAAGCAGCATGCTACTGTTGTATTCACAATTTAGCGAAGTCTTTTGCTTTTATTAGAATGAACAATTTACAATCCCATTTTGCAAAATTGGCCCACAGTCTAAAAATTTTTTTATTTCTACACAGTTCAATACTAAATGGGCGACTAGTGTTATAAAATTTCTGTTCATTTGCACTTCGAACTTATTATTTTTTTAAAAGAAAACTTTTTTAGATTGTCCTTATTCCATATATCACAGAACTTGCATAAACCCCCAACACATGAAGAATTTATTGAAAAAAAAAATAGAACGTTACTTATCGTGAAGTGTCAAAAGAATCTGCATATTGTTTTATTGCCATCATATCACTACTGTGCTATCCGAAAATTACTGAGCTAAAAAGGCCACTCTAGGCAGAAAAATAGAAATTAGCACTGTTCGTGGATGTCTGTCACTCTTGCGTAATTATCCAAAAGAATACTGTGCTGAAAAAGGGCCACTGGAGGTAGAAGATAAAAGTTTAGCACAGTTTGTGAATAGTCTTTGAAAGAACTGCCATCCAAAGCACTGTTTTTCACTGAAGCACAGGGATAGACTTTGCGGGTGAGAGCAGCAGTTGTGGATCAAATGGGGAATAGGGATGTCCCAGAAAGGGACTTAGTGGTGGAAAGGAAGTGAGTCCCATGTGAGAACTTGGGAATTGGAAGTGAGTGCCATTTCCCGAAGCGGAGTATCCTCGAGGACTGGGTAAAGGAAAAGGACTCCAAAAAGGTAGTGTCATAAGAGGTGTCTTGCTTTGTGGGAGGAAAGGGCTCGTAAATGTCACAATGGGCGTCTGCAAGGAGCCTAAAGAAGCCACGGTCGACGAAATGGGCCCGATTGGAGGAGGCTTTGGTTTGGGTCTGGGAATTGCAATGGTAGTGCCAGAACCGGTGCTGCCACCACCGATAGACGGAGCGGGACTTCCGCTACAAGAGGACGAGCCAGATGGAGAGTGACACGAATCACTCGTTTCAGTCTCTGACTTGATGCGTTTGGAAGTTGTCGATAAGTCTCTGGGTCCTTCTTCGCAAGATCCTTCATCGTGATCCACCAGAGGAGACGGAAAATCGTCGTCTTCGTCGCTGAATGACCTTTTGGGTTCTCTCCTCAAATCGGTCGGTAAATGTCGGGGATCGGACAACAACCAGAGTGTGCTGGGTAAACCACGATTTCCGTCGTACAATTCGTGGTGCCTCTTCGGTGAAAGCGGTTCGGGTTTGGGAAGACCGTACGGTGGACTTTTGTGGGCATGTTGGGGAGGCGGTGGAGATGTTTGCCTGCTGAATGGTGTTTTGTTAATAGTTTCCATTTTAACGTGAAAAGGAATTTTGTTTTCTGTCTTTACAATTTCAGGAAAAGACACAAATCTGTAAACAAACTTTTGTCCCAATACTTTGCGTATGATGTTTTTGTCATAATAATAGCGGAGAGCTCGAGATAACTTGTCGTAATTCATGTTGTGTTTGTTTTTACGTAAACCCCACAGCCTTGCCACCTCCTCGGCATTTAGCAACTTGAATTCGCCATCGTTGTTCGTCCATGTGATAATATGTGTGTATTGGTTGCTCAAGAGTAACTCAAGAAGAAACTGCCACAATGTGATATTAGTTTCCATACCTGCAAAATAAAAATCATATTTAAAACCATATTTTCCACACTATGTTTCATATTAAATAAGAATATATTTAAGAATATGATCTTTTTGACTTGTAAGTTTGCAAATAAAAGTGAATGCTCGTATGTTTTAGAAGTTTGTGTGAAATGTTGCAAATTTAGTTATTCGTGTAAATTTAATCAAAACAAATGGGTTTTTTAATTAAATCCTAAAAAACAGGGAAAGAAATTATCACACATTGTGATTTCGTATACATATGCGTAGTATAATCTATGTTAACCAAAACAGCTTGTTTTAACCTTAAAATGTCTTGTATTGTTTTTCAAAAGTATTAATTATTAAACTTCTTTATCAATTGATATTTCTTACATATAGACCATTTTTAACTAGCTAGGATTCTCAAACTGGAGCTCAGTGATGGATAACAAACATAAACAAAGCAAGTTAAGCAAAACTGAAAGTAGTTTTAAGTGAGGTGTATCTCTTTCCTTATAAATGTTCTATCGCAACCTAAATTTCCCTGTTTTTTCTTTTTAAGTTTACATGAAAAACATCATAAATTTTTATTGTGATAATCAGGGACTGTTAAAAAAATTTCAGCTGAAATTCTTAGCTTCTAGAAACTTCTAGACTTTATCAAATTTGCTGCAAAATAAAATTTTAAAAAAAAAAACTGGCTTTACATAGATAGACATACTTGATTTTTTAGTGGCATGGGTCATATCTGTGTCTATTTGCAGTATCAAATTAATATGTGAAAGTCAACAAATATTTTATAAAAATTAATTTTTTAATTGCAATATCCATAATATAATAATACAAACTGGGAAATAAATACTAAAGCAGTAGGTATATTATTGTTTTCTTTAATACAAACATTAAATTGGATGTATACATTAACGTTGTCTTTCAGTTTTAGTGATACAATTTTCGGGCAAAGTAAAAGGGGTTAGTTTTGATGTTTTTCCCTATTCAAATATTTTTTCTAATGGCAGGCAATGAACTTCTTATTCTTTGCCTATTCCTCGGAAGATGCCAGAATCGTTCATTTAACGTTATCTGGTGGGCACCTGTAAACCTAAGTTACGGGGGTGAGCAACAACCCACGCCATCCTTACACAGACCCGTTCATAGGATGGACCACATTCACACGACACACGGAGAAAAATATGCATGCCCTGAGCAGAATTCGAACACACAACAATTGGCTTTACAGTCAGGCAAGCTGGCTGGCATTAATTCAAATGTAGGTAGCAGAATAAAATGATACAAAGTTAGATTAGAATGATTAAGTAAGTCGCCTGGACAGCGTAGCCTCTCGAACTTATCATTCCCCAGTGATAATTTTTAACTAATTCTACCAAAATTCAAAACAAGAAGATATAATGGATTTCATTTTAACAGAAATTGAAATTTCAATAGATCTGCTAAAAATTATTAAACATAATTTTTTTCAGCTCTTCACCAGACATTTATGAATTAGTGACAATTGCGATAAGCCGAGTTTTAATAACAACACCAATGTGCTAACGTGCAAACAGATTAAGAAGCAGCAAATGTTTATCACTTACCTCCATCCCACCACATTTTTAAAAACACCATACAATTATTATTTTAAAAAAACGCTCGTCTCCAATAATTGGTTTATTAGATAGTGTATCCAAAATGGCAGAAGGTAATTGATTTATGCACTGAAAGTTGGAAAAAGCAGCAACTACTTGATTGTTCTCACTGGATCTGTGTAGATAACCACTAATAAGTTAATAAAAATCAGGGCCATCAGGGAAAGAAGGAAGCTGTTAATGAAATACATTTCCTGGCAACATCAGAGGAAGTTGTGAAGCGGGAAAGGAAGGGACCTATTAACCAGGGGGATGCTACCAATTGGGAGCATCCTTTCTTCTCTGCAAAGAGGGAAACACCCAAAAACAGGAAATTTGATGTGACAAAATTATTTTTTGATTTAATAAGAGCACTTTTACTACTTAAGGGAAAATTCCACCGGTCTTGTCCAATTTAAGAGGGTGCTTATGCAGCGGAAGTAACACTTCATAGCAAACTATGTTTTACCTACATTAGTAATTTAAAGTATAGAAAAAAGAGTGTTCGGGTAGTTTAAAATTCTGATTTTTTTTCTAAATAAATGACAGAATTACTTTCCTACTGCATAATCCTACTATAATTTGTTTGTATTTTGAAACTGAACTCACTTTTTTCTATACTCTAAATTATTAATGTAGGTAAAACAGAATTTGCAATGAGGCGTTTCTCCTTTGGTATAGTGTCCTAATCCTGCTTTGTGAATTCGGTTTCACCTCAGTTAGCAATTTAAAATTTAAAGTGTAGAAAAAAGGGAATTTCGGTACATCATAAAGTTACAAATATCAGAAGAATTTTTTTTTTTTTTTAATTTCAAAATTCTAATTAATTATAGTGGTATTATTTCTCCATTCTACAACAAAATAATGTACTAAACTACAAAAATAATGTAGTTTTTCCAACCACTGCAATACACCATGTTTTTGGTAAATCTTGTCCCCCACCCCACACTAATATATTCTAACTTCTTACTGAATCGTAGTGGCATGAAGAAAACTCAAGAATTTTCCGAAAATGAAGAGGGAAAAGGTGGGGAGTGGAGAAATCGCATAACCTTAAGACGCTTATGCTATTTACAGAAAGTGTAAGATATATACAGTATTAAACTAAAGCTTTACTTCAATTTTAAAGTACTCAACCTGCTATTAATGTCTAATCCAGCGTAATTTACTAAGTCTATAAGTATTTGATACTTTCTGTCAGTGTCCTTCCTGTCTTTATAAATGTGTGAAAATAAAGCTCTGACGTCCAAAAAAATTAAGTTTTTCTAAAAAAAAATATATTATAGGTCCTATTTTAAAAATAAAATGTATTGTAAATGTATTGTACATTAAATTTCGTTTTTATGTTTACATATTTTTTGAGTGGTTCGATATTACGATAAAATAACTTGTTGAGGTCCAATTTCACATTGAAATAATTTGTGAAGGTATAGATTTTACGATTATATCTAAGTTCTATTTAACGAACTTCCATTTTGCGATTTTTTTTCCAGGAACCAAAAACAATTTGGAAATTTCTTCGTAAAATAGCTTCCAAATAGCGAATTTTTCTATTTAACGAACTTTTCTTTGAGATCCGCTTTGACTACTTCCTATTTCAGAATCTTTCTAAACTTGTTAACGCAGTTTATGGGGAAAATGATCTTGAACTGATTTTCGCAGCTACTTCACTTTTAGAGAAAGCAGTAACCCTTTCCCTTTTTGTTTGTTTTTCATACAGAAATGTATGCCAAAAAACGAGAAAGCGTTACAGAAATTTCTATAGCATGGAACTATGATGTTACAGATCGTACTATTCGTAACAGTTTAGCTAAAGCTGGATTCTTAGTCAGCACGGAATGATTTTCTTTTTATTGATTCTAAAGCTGCAACCACAGAAACATTAACTGAATCGGATATTTTAGGACACACCGTGAAAAATAAAAACAATACAGCAATAAATTGTGATGAAGACAGAATTTAGGAAGAAATCACCAAACCTTCGTATGATAAAATCATTTGAAACAATTCGATAGTCGATTATAATTTACAAGAGTATCAATTGCTTTTTGTATTTATGTCTAGTGTTAATGAATTTAAAACCTGTTTTGGGTTGTTTAAGTATTTCAAATGGTGATTTTCAATTTAACGAACTTTTTACCGGGATTTAGCGACTTCGTTAAATAGAGGTCCGACTATATATATAATCAGGGGTCTGTCCAGACATTTTGTGAAAGGTCCGTTTTTGTAAAATTGTGAAAAAATGACTCGTAATTTGTGAATATAAAATAAGCATCGAGTCACATTCTTTCAACCAGGGTCCGCTTTTGGGAATTTGTGCAAATAGGGTCCGTTATTGCAAAAAAACTTTTCAAGGAGTTTTTAAATTGTAAAGACATACAGATTATGCTCAGCACTGTAAAATTATAACTAAAAAAATTAAATTTTAAAAAATAAACAGCAATTGCAGCTACTAAATTAGCGATGCAACATACAACTATTTGGTATTTAGCCTATACTGCTGAACGCAGAATATTCATTTCGGACGAATAAAGGAAGAAGCGTCTGAGGAAGATAAAACTAAGTTCTTTTACATTTGTCTTTCTCCCNAACAGTACAAATATTTGGTATTTGGCCTATACTGCTGAACACAGAATATGCATTTCGGACGAATAAAGGAAGAAGCGTCGGCCGAAGACAAAATTTAGTTCGTTTACATCTTTCTTTCCCCTCCCCCTCCTGGGACGGGTTTATTCGATTAACAAAACAATAATGAAGATAAACAAATTTGTGAAGGGTCCGATTAAAAGATAAATTATTTTGTGAAGGGTCCACATTTAAAGTTAAAATATTTTATGAAGGGTCCGTTTTTATGAAAAGATATTTACTTAACGGACCCAAATTTCCTCTAAACAGACCCCTGATAAGGGTCCAATTTTAAGATAAAATAATTTGGCTTGTTTTTGCGATAGAATAATTTGTTAAGGGAGCAAAATTTTTCCTAAATGCACCTCTAATAACCTTTTGAGACAAAGGTTCTAAACAAGTTTTAATAAATAAGGAATGTGCAGGCGATTAATATTATTTAAATCCACGAAGGGGGGTGGGGTGAAAGAGGATGGGGGTATGGGTAGGGATGAAAAAATAGGTGTTTACGCAAAAAATCTTTTAATGGTTTATGCGCCACAAAACATAACAAAAAAGTTTAAATATCAGACTATAGACCAAATAAAACGGTGCCACTTCTGGGAATTTCTGCCGGATCAAGTTTTTTACCAACTCTAAAAGTAAATAAATTTCAACGGCGTGAAATCTTAGCTTCCATAACAATCAACCTAAAATGATTGTATATTCGTTTTACTTTAAGCGCTTTTCTCGGAAAATAACACTTCAAAAATTGTATTTTAGAAGTCATTCCTAGA